TACCCTGAATTCTACAATGACATTGATGAATGCTTGATTCTGATTGGCTAAAAAGGTTTCCTTTTTGCTACAGAGACCCCTTTCAAATAAATCAAGCCTTTTCACACAAAAACGTGGGTATAAATACATCGATAGCCTACATACCGATTTATAAAAAATGGCTGCCGATCGACCACCTCCATATGAACTGTAAAACGTATCAATATTTCCTCTATTACTTGCTGGGTCTCAAATACAAGCCAGGTGTCAAATACACCCCGAGTCAATGGCTCTCTCGCAAAAATAATAGACGGCCTAGGGTCTAATAGATGAAATACGGTCGTTTGATTGATATTTTTGGCATTCTAGGACGTAACCCTGACTGCCTTGTTGAAGACATTTCGAGATTTAACGAAAGCATATATTTTCCATTCGAATGAAATGTTTATGAAATGTTAGGAACCAGAATCGAAACAGACTATTTCCTTGTTGAAACAACCGACAGTGACAGTAAAATATAACATTATGTTTGAAGAAACTTTCTTCATGACATGTTGTTTACAAACCTTTTTGTGATCAATATTCATTGCCATCTCCGTCTACCATCACCGTAAAGATTTGGCAGTAGAGGATTTAAAAGTCCATCGGAAAACACTCCTAGATTCTCTCGCTTCCTTCGAAAGGTGAAAACAATGTCCCGACATCACTGAAGTCAGTGCACACTTAATCGTAGCAACTTATTAAACTTCATGAGATTCAATTCAGAACACGCACGAACTACTGTTTCTGGTCCACAACTGTCCACATAATTTTCTTTCTCAAGCTTTTATTGAATCTGTGAAAACTTCAAATTGACAGTCTGCAGCCCCAAAAGGCGGCTGTTCACTCATACTCCAGTTCCATTGGTAATCACATTGCACCAGCAGGCTCATTCCCAGTGAATCTACAGGTTAATGTTGAACCACATCATAGATCTGCTGAGACCCGTGAAGTTTCTGGGGTAGAATAGGTCTTCAGCAACCCACACTTGCCGTAAAAGGTGACTTTGCTTGTCATAAAAGGCGACTAACGGGATCGGGTGGTCAGGCTCGCTGACTTTGTTGATAAATGTCATCGATCCCAATTGCGTGGATCGATGCTCATGATGTCAATCATGATGTTAATTCATTAAGTTTGTTGAAGAAATATATTCTTTTAGCATTTAAAAACTATTTCTACAACCTGTCACCCCATCAATTAAAATGGCATGTTCGAATTCCAAGAAATGACTTCTCTCGCGGATTTCCAAGAAATGACTTGGTGAGTCCAAACAGTGCACAATCTTTGGACTAAGTGTGCAGGGTTATTTGTCAATTTCTTTTTGAAAAACTATGTGTTTTGAACACTTATTTTGAAATACTCAACATTATGGTGTTTTTAATCTTGAACTTAAGAAATAATTGTTACATTTGTTACCTGTGATCATTTTTTCAGAATGCTCTAAGACTGCGAACCTTTGTACCCTGTATTGTTACGTGTTGCAAGAGAGCACCGTTTTCCAAGCGTTGTTGCCTTCATGGTAGAATGGAGATAACCCTACTGTGGAAAGCACTCGGTTCCAAATTAGAAGAAGAGGTATCTACTCTACAGTGGGACATCAAATTTCAAAACACAGTAGGTTCATCTCCTAATCGAAGCTGCTGTAAAATACCTCTTTGTATTGACATTTATTGAGAAATGTTTTTGTGCTCTTTATTACCCATCAACTAAAGATTCTTATCTCAGATGGTTTTATTTTTCATAAAATGTATCCAAATGACAACTTTTATGAATACCATTGCAAGAAGTTTTCTCCCTTGTCAATTTTTAAAATACGACCATGGTCACTAATTTTGCAATAATCTTTAAATTACATTTAAAGGAATGCTAAGAAATATTATCTTAATTTCTAACACATTTCTGTTGTAGAAAATACAATTTATGCAATGTTTGTTTTTAATGTGAAGGAAGGAAAATGAACATAAAGTGTCAATATTGGTTATTGTACCCGAAATATATCAGAACGCTTAAGTTTTGTGTATGACTGTGTAGGTTGTTGTATTCTCTTTATTTTGACACCAAAAATTAAAAGAAAATAGTATTAGTTGTGATGAAAACATCCATTTACTTTTAGGAAGTATTATGTAAAAAGAATGCTGAGTCATTACTTTAGCGCCCACTAGTGTGAAAATGGACCATCAGATTTTTGTAAGACAAACATTTTGGAAAAAAACCAGCCATTTTGTCCTGGATACAAGCATTAACTTGTATGGACCTCTTCGGTGAAATAAATCGCTCCCATCTCTTGGACTATATTTCCTTTGTAACGTCATTCACTTGGCAACATACGTCTTCTTTCCCCCTTTCTTTTAAAAAAAATTCCGTGGTCTAGTAGTAGAGGTCGGGGTTCGATCCACGACCGCGTCATACCAAATGACGTTTAATGATGGTACTTGTTACCTTGCCTGGCGCTCGGCATTTCGGGGCTAAAACTAGAATTGGTCGGCTCGGCGTCAGTACACTGTCTTAGTGGAGTATTCAATTAAATGCTGCATGCTATCTCAATGGGCTAGTACTATTAAGTCGGGATTAGTCGGGCTAATACAAGTAACACACAGAGACGCATGCACGCATGCATGTCGCTATTGAAGTCTAATAATCTTGATCGCGGCGTAAACGCCATTTCACAACTTTTTATTGAAAAGATAATTTTCGAAAAGGGGACACATGCTGCATTTAGTTGTTTTTTTAATGTGTGTTACATATTTCCTGTTTAGGCATTAAGAGGCAAGACGTCATGACAAAAACGCGACTTTGTGCAGGGGCAAGTCATCATATTTATTAGTGGCGACGATTGACAGTGACATCTATGAACACCGACATTATCTGGTGGTACATTTGACAGTAGGCTTGGTTGACGGTCGGTTATTTCTGGTCGGAAGCCCGAGTCCAGTGAAATGTATATCGGGGAAGCAGGTAATACTGAATATGTAGACATCAAATTGGAATTATTCTTATTGACACTCGTGGGGACAGGAGACGTAAATTATATATGACCAGATTGGTAAAGAAACATAAAATGCACGTAGACATAAATATTGTATAAATGATCTGTAACAATATGCTGAAGTGTGACAGAATAGCAAGTTTTCCTTTACAAACCCCATTACATTTTTTTTTTTCATTTTGATCAGGCACTGGTTTGTAGCCGTTTAAATGTGAGTCATAAATAGATTTTAAAATTTTTGTTTACGTTTTTGTGTTCGTGCGGTTTTGATTTTAGTGAGCGTTGCCATATACAGGCAGATTAGGTGTGTTATATGACTAGACAGACCCAAGTCGTTTCAAACGACAAAACAAACCGAGAGACTATTTTTTTCATTACCCTTAACATTTGCGTAATATAATCGATCACACAAAATACATACACAATTAAGAAAGTATGCTTCAATCTTTTCTTTTATTGAAAAGTTTACAGCAGAGATTCCCCCTCAGACAATTAATTGATCTCACGAGACAGGGCGACACTGCCCGAGTTGTGGCGCTTAGTCGAAAATGAGTTGCGGTCATACCTCTGATCAATAATCAAGATCGTTAACAAGATAACTTTGATCCAGAGGATCAACACGGCGCAAAAAAGTTTGTAGCATAACAACGTATTCATGCAAGTAGCAATACTGTCAGTCATAAAGTGCACGTGTAACCCAGAAGACAAAACAAATTGCAATTTGCATGTGGTACCTTCAAAATCAGGAATCAGGATTTGACACATTTCAATTTAAATATTTATGTAATATAAAAGTAGAAATCAAACATATTATCAAAACATCACTAGTAATATGTTTTCACAACAATGACCTCCTGAAACATTTACTATTTTTAAGGAACATGGGGTATTAAGTTGACACAATCATAGTGATGTGATACTGTTGACATTAATATATCTGCAGTGCTGAAGTTATTAATATTTTTTTCATCATTTATCCCTTCAAAGTAAAAGCTACATTGTTGTAATATTATATAATGAAGTAGATCTGATGAGACATGCAGATATCGCTAAAATTTAAACCCACGGACCTTGCTACATGGAAATTTGTTAACATTTCCTGCCATGCCATATGTTTCAGGCCCTTCCCCTTCCATCTCGACAGACAGAACTCGCTACAAAGAAATGGGTCAACGCTTCTTTTGATTGTTGCCGAGCAACAATCATATTGTACACATATCATTATACATATTTGAGAGAAAGAAAGATTCTTCTTAGAATTGCGTTCCATCATGCCATGCATTACTCTTCCCCATGTGATTTTCTAAAACCTGGCACCATATCAAGTGATGGCTGACCTCACAGGATGTTGTCAAATGCAGGACAATTTAATCATGTGCCCCTGAATACCAAAAGTAAGCCCTTCTGAATTAATGACATCACTTCCAGTTTGGGAAAACGTATATCCAATGCAAGATAACTTTAAAATGGAAAGTTCCATGTCTCTAGCTACAATAAAAACGATACAAGCACTTCCGGTTTAATTACCTTGACCCTTAATTTCATCCGATCATTTTTTTTTCAGTTGAAAACACGGGCATAGGTTCTTACATGCATGTCATACAAACACGAGGTTGGTTTAGAATACAATAAATTAAAGCAGAACAACCTAATAAATGACCCTGACTCTTAACGATGGTTACTCACAACCTAACGACAATGCCCCACTCTCAGGATGATGTGTACTAAGTTTCAACAAAATTACAATTACTGGGGATGTTCGTGAAAATTGCAAACATAATTTACAAAGATGACATCTTGTATATCGGTCATAAGGGGTCTGTTTCCATTCTCAGCACCACCATAAAGCAGACACACAAAGTTTCATTAAATCCTTCACAAACTGCTTGATAATTATAGAATATAACAAGACTACTATCTTCTAGCTCCAGGCTGATCATTAACAGCACCTGTGCAGAGAAAAACGTTTTCAGGAAAAATCACAAACACAAAAAGATGTCATTTCAATATTTTTAATAGTTTTTTCACAACTTAGTCAGTTTTACCACCAACAGAAGACATAAATTAGATTCAATCAGGGCCTATCAGTATCAGTCAGTAACAGGCCATCAGATAGAATTTTGCAGCACTCTCAATAATAACAAAACGTCGCCATTATCACCAAGTAACTGTTATGAGCATGTATGCTTCCAACACTTGGACTAAACATGTCTGCATTTGGAGCGACCATAAGATTCATCACAGAAAGTAGAAGGCGCTAAGGCAATAACCCAAAACTCCAGCAAGAACCGACAATAGCCCGCAAGTTCATGTAAAATGCGTGCGAACCAACCTGCATTCCATGGCAACGATGGTTTCATTAGGAGTAGTCAGAAACCCTAACCCTTGATGCTTTGCCACTAATATCACATATACAATGAAATGTCATAAGATACAGCATAATATTTAGCAAGTCAGCCCTCATACATATCAATATTGTCCATATTTCATCCCATACCAAGTCAAAATATTCCAGGAGTCAGCCAACTCGTATTGAAAAAATACTTCATCCTTGGCATACATCAATAGATTTTATACCACATGCCATATTTTGACCAAGAATCATACAAATGGTTGGCTTACATATAAGTGCATCAGTAGAATCCATATGGGAAAAGATGGTAACATGCAAAAAAAAATTCAGCTGCAAAGCCAGCTTACAAATGCGAATATCACAATGGGTAAAATGGCTCCGTTCAAGAATTGCAGGTTGCTTGTAGTATTCATGTTAAACAACTCATTCAACTTTCAACTTCATAAAAAACTTTTGAAACTTAACCTGTCATCTAAGATGGACATTCTACTCCTTCGTTTGTTTGTCACAAAAAAAACTGAAATTCATCAGCCATAAAACTTTCTAGTTCCATGATGGGATTCAAACCACGGAACTTCTGATCCAAGGTCAGACGCCTTGTCCACATAACCAAAGAGGTTATATGTGTCATCTTTGAGGCGCCTCTTTGCCCTGCTACAGAAGCAATACCTATAAAGCTTTCTCCAGTAACTTTCATGCTTACCAAAGCCATCAATCATTTGAAGTTTCAAAACAAAGTCCAGAACGGAGCCTGTAGGATGCGTCACTGATATATCTCCTATTCTCCTACTCGAGTAAACTTGAGGCTATATGCATTAACAGAATCATTACTCTACTCAAGATAAGTAAAAACAGCTCAGCATCAAGGGTTGCAAAAATATCAGCTAGTCCATTTCTTGGCGAATGATACAAAACATATTATTGCCAAAATATCGCGAAAAAATGCATTCTTACAACAGAGGCCGAAAATGAAAGTATATAGGTGGTACCAGAGTGGTTCTGTCATTAACACTACAAGGGAACATACATGTTCCAAGTGTCACAATGTGCAAAATGTCATTCAATAGTTTGAATTATTGGAATCGGTCATAACATGTCATACAGTGTATATTAGATTTCATTTATGTTTGTAAATCAGCTTCAGATTAAGACTTCACACAGTAAGTAATCAATTTGAAAAAGATACTTCAAAAAAGCTGCAACAAAAACTTGAAGGCATATCATCAGAAAAAAGTTCTAAATTCCAACAGTATGAGGAAACAGTGTACATTTAAGATCACAGTGTAATAAATCCTGTGCCATTCCACTTGGAAAGCTTGCTTTGATGCCTTATTCACTCAAACCTGTACTTACCTCTTCAGTCACAATATCATCTGAAGATACCATATAACTTCAAACATATGCTTTTACTCAGAGCATGTGTCGATCCACACAAAGTCAAAATACTTTGGAATAAAATATTAACATCACCATTCATAACAAAATACTTGAATAGTACATACCAACTTCTTCCCATAATGTACATAGTACTGTTGTTTTTGTAACCTTAGAAAGGGGTGTCATCACCTCTGGTTATGAATGTAGGTGGATACAGCTTTTGAAGGTGAGCAAACGTGCCTTTATGGATAAACCTGTTTGAACAAGACCTCATGTGTCCATTTTCAGTAAATCTGTTGTGTCGGTTTCACAACACTCAACCATATCTAACAATGCATTGTCACACAATAAAGACAGCAGCCTAAACAATTATTTTCATGGCGATACACAATATACAATGCATTTCAGTCTTTAGCAAACTGTCAAATCGACATACATCCCAAATATATAACTTTACATTTCCAAGTTTCTAATACAATCAATGAATCAACATTAAATCACTCTCTCAATAAAACATTCAAGACAGAGTGCTTATTAGAATCAATAAGATTAGATTCATCATATCTTTTAGACAAAAAACAGTTGCGCTAAACAGTATACCCCATCAGGACCCTCTTCTATTGTTCTCTTAACTGGTGGCGAGAAAAGGGGAACAAGATAAGTATTCTCTTGTTGACACATACTCATTCAGGGATCATTTATAGGTTCTCAAATGTTAAACAGTATCAACACTTACATAAGCTATATCAATTAACTGATCACCAGTCATATTTTATTCAACTGGTCACATATAAGGTCTTCAGGATAACTGCTCAAAGGAGGTTTTTCAGTTAACCAGTCAAACAAAGTTATTCAGTTAACCAGTCACAAGAGGTCAAGTTCCTGCAGGCTCTAAGGGCAGAATATAGGGCACTATTTGAAGTTGTATGGTATACATGTTATCTTAGGTTTAAGCCTATAAATACACCATGCAACTAGCGGAGTTGAAGCCTCTGTTGAGGGATGCAAGGAGCGGGCATGTGTCTGTCCATCTGTCCGGCTGGCTGCAGATGTTTAAGGTGTCGCTTGTTGAGCTGGCCTGATGATGCACATATCATGGGTTGCCTAACCACACTAAAGACCTGCAAGATAATGCAACACAAATCTTTACAATTCAAGCGAGCAATAGATTGATGATTGATGGATTGATTCAGTAATTTCTGAGTTTGTCAGGTTAAAGTGGGAGAGAAGCCAGAAGCGATGCAGTTCTTAAACGTAGGACACATTTGTGAAACCAAGAGCACAGACATGATGTTGACAAACAGAAATTCTAGAATTCAAACATAAAATCATTGGATCATACACTAAGGGATGCAACTCTGCATAGTGGCTCACTTGTGGATCCCTTGTGGCTCTTTAGGAGTGAGCCAAATATACCGCCTCAATGTCGTGGAGGTTGAATGTCATCACATTGTGAGACAGACATAGAAGGCATAGTACAAAGGCACAGCTGCTCAACAGGAACATTCAGAGCAGTTCACGTTTTCATGATTACATCAAGATGGAAGCCATAAGCAGACACACCTTTTGAGTTAAGAATGGGTGCGTGAGTGTGTGAGTTTGGCAGAAGTCACTGTGAATCATATTTCAGTAATATCGCAGCTGTCACATTGATGGAGGAAAGCTTGAAATGATGGTGGTCTTGCACAAAAAAAAACATCCCATGAAAAAAGAAACTGACAGTTTTAGTCCACTGGTCCTTCTAATGATAAGATATAGCAAAAACCCTTTAAAAAGAGCAAATTTCTACTCGTCCTTATGATACCTTAACTATTGGGTAGTCTGACCAGGACTACAGGACTAGTGACAATTTCTAATGCTGATGATCCATGCATGTAAACATTGATGACAAAATGATTACCGACTACAGGTGTCTCACCTTCAGAAATCTTGTGTGGCTCTGGGTGCTGAACTGTATTATTTCTGATTGGAGCCTGGAACCCAGGGGGTGGGTTGTGTGTCTGAGGGGGCCACATGCTGGCAGCTGAGAATGACGGGAACTGTTGCACAAATGGAAGTCTGTGATTAGGGCTGGGGGTGTCTACTTCTGTCAGCTGGTGGATTGACTTTAGCCAGTGGGGAGCACTTTCTGTATTACCTGAAGAGAGAAAAAGCAGAACATAAAAGAGTGCACAGCAAAGAACATATTACACTAAACCACATGCAGTTATAGAAGAGTAACAGATGACAACATGGCATATGTGTTTACATAATGGCAATACTTACACACATAACAAACAAAATGAGACTGAAAACATTTCAAAGCCATTTTGGGGGTTTAACATAATTTGATGAACATTTAAAACAAGAACATAATAGCAGGTAAATCAACACAACATTTACATTCAAGAAACATATTTTCACACTACCAATGAGTAATATGGATGACAAAGGCAGCTTGAAAAAGTAACAAAAAGTTACAGCAGCCATCAATGATTGGTCATAGTTCTTAATGACGGTATAATTCATGCATTATCAATCATTCAGCTGGGCCTTAAACACCCATATTGGCAGCCTAAACTTTCTCCTATGAATGCAACCCATAGACATACAGCTCCATAGTATACCTGTTGTTCATGTTTTACTTGATCTGATAGCTTGATATGATCGTGTCAAATTACAATGATACTATTCCATAAAGAATTATAGAAAAAGTGACAAAGCACTGGAGCTCACCTGATCATATATCATATTCAATAAAAAGTTTGAAGTGATGCCGGTCCAAGTTTACGAGTTTGGTGAAACCAACGAGCACAGGTATGGTGCTGACAAACCCAGAAACAAAATCGGGGCGAACCGGGATTCGAACCCAAAATCATGTTTCTGGTGTGCCAAAGGATGTGACACTACAATTGCGGGACCTTTGCCTCCAGTCATGAGTTCAAACAGATATAGTAACAGCCAACACAATGTACTCAATGAACAAAGACAAAACACAAGACTCGCAAACTATGGGGTACCTAGAGATATCTACCTCCCTAGTTCTTAAGGCTTGAAAGACATCAAACTGTATCTTAACTGAGTGTGATGGATTAGTGATGAAAATCCCTCTACAGGTTGCCATTGCTGGATCAATGCATCAACAGAGACACAGAGAGAGAGAGAGAGAGAGAGAGAGACAGAGAGAGAGAGAGAGAGAGAGAGAGAGAGAAGAGAGAGAGAGAGAGAGAGAGAGAGAGGTACTGATCACTGAAAATATAGAAAAACCTGTGCAAGCTGTCCAAAGGGAAGTTTTCAATAGACTGTACTCTTCTGGATTAATAAGTAAGTTTGCTGGTCTGAGAGGCATCCTATAAGACTTTGTAATTGGATGAAAAAGTTGTAAAATGAACTCCATGCTGGACAGAGAACAATTTTGAGTTCAAAACATGCAAATCAAAGTCATGAAAATCAAAGTCATGAATGCCTGTGTGAGGCCTTGCTAAACTTGTCAACAGGTAACACGTGTTAACACTGCTATGCCACAAAGAATACTGTATGGATGTGATGCTGTGTCAGCGCTATCAAATATTCTCCATTACCTCAGCAGCTTTCATATGTTCCTCTGTAATCTTGTTTGTATGCCTCATCATTCAACCAGACTAAATTTTTATATATTCTTCCATACAAAGCACAAAGGGGAAAACCTCAGGAGGAGGCTGACTTAATTCTCTTGATACATTCTCAACATATGGAGATACATTCTCTAATACATAGACACTAAATGGATCAGGAAGGAATGGGTTGAAAAAATTAAGTCATATCAACATGATCAAGGCAAAATGGTGTGTCAACCAAACAAGATTCACCCACTGTGCATGCTCAAACCAACATGCAGAGTGAAAGCGTTTATTGGGTTTGCAGCAATCACAGTCTGTATTTCACATATTAAGACTTGCTACAAAAAGTGCACCTTACATTTCAGGTGTTGTTTGTTAAGATAACACTAAAACGTCTTTCCCCATTTCTAGGTTTTATCATTTCGAATAATATTCACAGTATTGAAAAGCCTGATCCTGTTCCAACAAAGCAGAGTATATACTCTCACAACCTTCTTTCAAAATATTTTCTTGCGTCTTACTAAAATATGGTATATTGACATTACAACAAAAATATGGTATCTTGACATTACAGCCTGTAAGTGTTATCAGGTCTAATACAGACGTGAAAGGTGAACAGCTATGAGTGGGTATTTTTCCAGGAGGCAACTAATCAGTAGTCAACACACATTAGCAACCTTTGTGGGTGCTCCTTAATGGCATGCATGATGTACTGGGGACCTAGAGGTTATCACTGAAATTGTTCAGTCATTCACTTGACGTTACCTGTCACATACTTCTTGGAAACTGAAAACGTTTTTGTAAAATTAAATTAGACCTAACCAGATCAATCACAAAAACAAGGATACTTTTATATTGCAAAATCGAGCTCCTGGCACACTACATTATAGTTGCCATTTAATCCAATAGAGATGCTCCCTAATTAACATAATACTGCCACGGCACTGTAGGTCTCCTGGATATGTAGTCAGCAATCTAAAACGTTAACCAAGACAATTGCCGTCAGTATTGATACTTAAATATTCAAACGTGTTGAATCCCATAAAAACCTAAACAAATCCTAAGTTGATTACATTTTGTATAAAAACTGCAGAGCAATGGCCAGAAATAGCTTTTCCAATATGGCTGCCATGATGACAATATTTAAACTCAGATTTGAGCCTCTTGAATACATTCAGCTTTCTAAATTGGTGGAACAATCATGTGGCGTTTCAGTTGCACTGGTCAAGTGGTTTCTGAAGAGGTAAGTTTTAGAGGAACTAGGAGCATGGTCAAACAAAAATGTAAAATGTCACACACAAAAAAGAACGTATGTGTTGTGCCCCAGCTACAAACTACACCTACACCAAATTTCCTTCTATTTTGAACATAAATGACTGAGCAATGATCATGAACAGTTTTTTTGCCTTGGCATCCATATTTCAAACCAGATTCATACCTCCTGAACAAATTAGGGTGTCATTATTGGTGTTACAAGGATGTGAAAATTCAGCTTGTTGGTTTCGTGGTTTCTGCGAAGATGTTTACGACGGACCACTGACACTGGAAAACCAGGCCATGACATTGGCGCACATGACTTTCAGTCAGGTGAGCTAAAAATCCACTTCAGCAGCTAAATTCACTTTAAACAGCCAAGTTCTAGGACGTTCTGTTATCTAATCTTGAATAAAGAGCAAGGTTTGCTTAAAAAGCACAGGTCTATCGGAAACGTCCCTGTACGTGGGAATCGGCTCTGCAAACCAATACTTTTAATATGATGTAACTACTAGTGCTACGATCATTTATGATGCCATAACCATTTACTCTTATAAATAAACTGCAAAAATACATTTGTTTCTTAATCCAAACATAACAATAACTCAAAATAGTGTGTAGAGTGAGATCTTCGAGATGAAGGCATGCCTTTTCAGTGAGACTGATTGCATATTGCCTTAATAATCCAATGTCTATTAAATATTGCAATCTTTTTTAAGATTAGAATCTTGTCACACTTGTGTTAGCATGTTACGAGGTGTCTCAAAACACAGCACAGTGATCAACAAACACTAAACTTCTCCAAAGCCAATCAGTTTTAGCAACATGGAGGGAGAGGTGCCAGCCAACGTGTGGAATCCGTATTAGAGCAAAGCAAACAAACGGCAGACATTCTACACAAGTAGAGAGTATCAGTAGCATATGAGGATGAGGATGAGGATGTCAATGAGATGAACACAGGGTGATGTATATGCAGCAAGACATACCATCTTGAATATTCCCTGAAGATAATATAGCAGGGTCATAAGTCAGCCAAGGGCTATCTGACTCTGGTGGTGTGCAGGAATTTGGCCAACCTACGGTAACAGAAATTATGTAAACACAAATAATCTCTAATATTAGCCTACGAGGTTGTTTGACATGTCTAACCGAAACATTGTCACAAGCAATGCAATATGTTTCAGAATTGTTGGGCTCCTAGGGTCAACAAGCAAGCAGGTGATTTGAAAATTAATACAAAGCTAAAGACAATTAAAAGGAGCTTGCAACTGAACAAAAGGGTACAACTGAATGAATAGTACAACAAATACACAAACACTGAATACCACATCAATCACCTATTGCTAGTGCCCTGCATCAGCAGCAGGAAGGCTTAACTGGCCTGACAGGTTGTAACAGCCACTGTCAACTATCTGCATCGCACTGCTCTGATTGCACATTAAATGCCACACAGCAAAAGCAGCAGCAATGTTGTGCAAATGATAATTGCTACACTTCTCAGCTCAGCTGTTCTTTCATCAGCAAATGCATTAGGTTTGAAGACATATGTATGAAGAAACATCTTCCCGAGGCAAGAGAGTTAACTGACCATAAAAGTCCAGTTTCCACCCTTGCCGAACTAGGCTCGTATTATGGAGTTACATTTTGGCTGGACTAACTAGTCTATGCATAGTCCAATCAAATCGAAATCCGGTTCGTAAACTGCCGTGCAGATTTCGGTCGATTGCAGGATTTGCAAAGCATGTGCACCGCCAACTCGTTGTCAACAGTTATTTTCCAAATCTTTTCATGTTTTTAATCAAGGTGCTCATGTGATTTGATGCATTTCGCGATGTAAGACCCGTTTTATCACAAGATAGATCTTGATTATCGATCAGATCGTCCTGACTGGGCACCACCATTTTGAGTGAAGCAAACGCAAGTGATACGAGAGGTGGAATCTCATTGGTCCATAGGAGAGGCTTAGAGGGGACATAAATGGCAATAGCCACTGGTGGCGCTACGATCGAGCCCAGTAATTCCAGTCTAGTTCGGCAAGGGTGGAAACTGGACTTTTAAAGTCAGTTAACTCTCTTGCTTCGGGAAGATAATGAAGAGAGGGATAGTGACGAATTAGTTTTTCCGCATCCTTTTCACATTTTACAGCCAATATAGTGTTCAGTATTATCAGCAAACATGATAATGTCTCAGTAATTAATTTGAAGCAATCTGTTATCGATCTGTTTCAAGACAATTTCAATTTTCAGCAGGGAAGGACAAAATCAAGATTCAGAATTTAATCATACAGATATCTGAAGTAGCTCAAAGACTTTTGAGGAGTGAAAACTAGGATCTTTTTATCTAGTTATCACATATTGATACCTGCATATTCATAACAAGGTCCCATTTATCACAATTATGGTCTTGTTCAGGGAACTCACTTTTGTGAGAATTGGGCGTTGGCTGTGTTCTTTGCTGAGTTGTGTTACTTGTCTGTGGAAGAGCACCAAAGCTGATGTTGATATTTGGCAACAGCGATCGTAGTTGATTCTGCATGTCCTCCATCTTGAACACATCGGCATGTTGTTGCTGCAAGACCAACCACAATGGAAATAAGCAGCAGTCAGATACTGGTGAAAATCTACAGAGAATATGACATATAATGAAATGATTTTGTTTGTTTGTTGTTTAACACCGCTCTCAGTAATATTCCAGCTATATGACAGGGGTCTGTAAATAATCAAGTCTGGACCAGACAATCCAGTGATTGATATCATGTGCATCAATCCACACAATTGGGAAATGATGACATGCATTAACCAAGTCGGTGAGCCTGGCCACCCGATCCCGTTAGTGGCCTCTTACAACAAGCATGGTTGCCTTTTACGGCTAGCATGGGTTGCAGAAGACCTATTCTACCACGGGTCTTCAAGGGACATCATGAAATGAATGTGAAAAATAGGAGTGTCCATTGCTCACATTCAAAAAGTGTCATGTCAGGTTCACTGCACACGAGCGGAAACAATGACATACATAACAAGAGTTCACAATAAACTATGTAATTGAGCACTAAACTTTGTGCTTTTCACCAAGTTCAGTGTCAAGTGTGATCAGTTTGTTGAAGCAAGTTGATCAGTCAGTTCTTACAGTTGTCAACCATGTACAACAGCGTCTTTGTTCTTGGTAAACTTGTGACACTTTCCAGGACACCAAAATTCGTCATGCTGCTCATATGTGTTCAAAAGATTGAGCTAACTCTCATGAAATCTTCAACAAGGACCCGACCAGGGATCCGGAAAACGGTCTGTGTGCCAGACTTGTCCGGTTGTGACTACAAAAGGATCAATTTGAAAAAGTGCAAAGCGGCCATTTTAAATTTGCCAACCGAATATTTTCGAGAAAGTACTTGCCAGACGTTACAAGCTGTGATCAGATATCTTAAGGGGCGGTCGGATAGCCTTGTGGTTAAAGCGTTCGCTTGTCACGCCGAAGACCCAGGGTCTATTCCCGACAAAGGTACTATGTGTGTAGCCCATTTCTGGTGTCCCCTTCTGTGTTATTGTTGGAATATTGCTAAAAGTGGCGCTAAACCATACTCACTCACTCAGATATCTTAAACGATATAAAATAAAAAGGTGCAGCCAGACTGGCATGTGTTTTTGTTGTTGATCAGTGTATACACCACTTGCAAGGGCGACCGAGTGCTATCGGTCAACATCATATTATGCGCGGTATAAAACCCACATCGTATCCCTTCAGGGAATTATGGTGACAAACTGAAATAAGTACATTTTAATGTGAAATTTAAGATAAAATATCAGTAGACACGATGATTTAAACTATATTTCCAGTTCTGCTAGGCATTGTTTTATATGCAGAAATTAAGATTACTGTGTATATTTTCAAACAATTTCCCCAAAATTGGTGTGTGTGTGTGTGTGTGTGTGTGTGTGTGTGCGTGTGCGTGTGCGTGTGCGTGTGTTCGCCGTGTAAGAAGGGTCGCATTATAGTTTTTGATAGTTAGTGGATGACTTTTCAAAGGAGAAAGTGACTGTCAAAACAATAACATCAACACATAAAGAGCTTGCTTCATCCATATTTAATTTTGAACCCAAGAGGGTAATAGTGCTCAGTAGTGTCGGGTGATAACTCACTAACAGCATGTTTGCTATCCCATACTGGACATATTAATGGCATACCTGCGAAGATACGGGTTAGATGGGTCTTCAGCAACCCATGCTTGTCATAAACGGTGACTAATGGGATCAATTAGTCAAGTTCGCTGACGTGGTGGGAGTAAGTCTTTGCATCCAAATTGAGTAGATCAATGCTCAAGGCGTCTATCACTGGATTGTCTGGACCAGACGATTATTTACAGAGCACTGATTATTGCTGAGTGTGGCGTTAAACAATATGCAATCAAGAATCAAATCAACAAGAATTTGGATGCCAACAATGACTAAGATAGGATTGCTTACCTGAGGTTGCATGTGAGTATGTTCTGCAGATATCGCACTACGCCCAGGCAGAGGTCGATCTGGCAAGGAGTTGTGAAACGGGGAGTTCTGTTGTTGTTGTTGTGGATGTTGTTGTTGTTGTTGTTGTTGTTGATGTTGTTGCTGCTGCTGCTGCATATGACTGAAACTTTGCTGAGAGTAGCCCGGTAAGAAGTCCATCATTTTGTGATTTGTCATATCTGAAAATACACCTGGTCAATACGAATTGTATTAAACACTATGAAAAGAAACCAAAGGGATAAACTTTTTATCACCATTCAATAAATGTGTAAATGACGTCACATGACAGGAACTACCTCAAGTAAGCTCCATGCATCACTATAATACCTACTTGCTAAGAAAACTACTGCCTAACAAATAACATCCCCAATAAGTTTAGAAAGGTATTTATCGATGTGTGGATGTTTCAGCACACAAACATGGCTTCAAATCACTTGGCACTTTTTGATAATTGGGGAGGTTCAATCAAGCACTGTACATTTATATGCCATCTCTAAAGTTACTTCAGTGAGTGAAATAACATCTTAAACATCGAATAGTTTAACAATGACATATGATAAAGACTTTTATTCTACACACCATATACTAGGACAAAAAACATGTATATGCTTGTCAAGTCAGGATGACATGAATTTTAATTATACGTATTATTCTTTCCAAAGATTTGCATAATACAATATTATTTCTGATATACGATATTAACGATATAGAAACACACTCAGCTAATATCAGGGCTAGATTTAAGGTTAAAACAGGCAAGTTGAACCGAATCCCTTGGATTCATCAAGTAATTCATGCCTACCTTGTCTAAAGAACGGCATCTGTTGTCTGTGTTGAAAGTGTTGTTGTTGCTGCAGCTGCTGTTGCTGCTGCTGTATGTGACTGAGAGAGAAGCCAGGGGGTAGACTCCGTGGCTGAGGGGGATGGACAGGAGGCATGACCCCTCCCTGCAGCCCCACTGACCGACTGCTTCCACTGTGGTGGTGCTGCTGCATATTTGTGTAATGGTGTGTTGTTGTGGCTGTTGTACCGTGGAGACCATTCTCCTTCTCTATCAGATCAGCCAGACCTTTGAAAGACTCATCACAGGGATCAAAACCTGATGGAACAGAAAATACATCAAATCAAGTCTCCCCTCATTCATAAACAAGAGTGCTCTGAGAGCACAACATCCCCCACATGAATTTTTTATTTTTTTGTATTTCATGAAATAACAACAGTAGATGGCACTGCATTTGAAACAAATTGTGCAGAACATTTTGTTGGGAGTAATCCAGTCTGAATGCTAATGCCATAAGGATGTAGCTCACCCACAAAAGCCTTAAAGAAGGAAACTAACTAAAATTATAGTTATAGTTAGATATTGTGATATTCTCTGAAAACTGGAGGAGTAGATTTCATGAAGCTCTGTAAAACAGGGGCAGTAACTGTCAAAATTAGTCGAAATGAAACGGCACTGCGATATGCGTATCATCAACATGTCGACATCTTGTGTGTAGAGTGTCAGGGATATTCTCTGGAAACTGTAGGAGGAGTTGATTTCACAAGCTTAATTCCCTCTGTGGGACGGACGGACGGACGAACTGCGCCACGACATAATCCCCCTTCGGCCAGTCTGGCCCGGCGGGGGATAAAAACTGGATGTATATAACGTGACTATTATTTTGACCAATTCATTTATATTGTCTTTTACGAAGTGAATCCATATTAATTAGGAACCAGTTCCCAGGAAAATCCTCAGGGACAATGATTTATGAATGGGTGTGGAGTGATGAGCTCTGGGGAGGATAGGATTTCTTTGTTTGTTGTTTAACGCAGCACTCAGCAATATTCCACTGTATGACAGCAGTCTGTAAATAATCGAGTCTGGACCAGACAATCCAGTGATTGATATCATGTGCATCCATCCACACAATTGGGATACGATGTCATGCATCAACGAAGTCAGCCAGCCTGACCACCCAATCCCGTTAATCAACTCTTATAACAAGCATAGTCACCTCTTACAGTAAGAATGGGATCACATACTTTACAAAACAGTGACTAATTCCAGAGTTGAGAAGAGTTATCCCTACAACACTATTTCGTTTGTACATAAACTGAAACTGGCCGAAACACAGGGTTTCTAAACCAACAGGATTTCACAGTACCAAGCATCAAACCAATAACAAGCAAAGTGTCACAGGCATGTTGCAAAGTACATCACACTTAAGGGCAATATTTCTGTATGAAGAAGGTTCAGTCCCACAGAATTATTTCTGTATTCAATTTGGAACCTAAGTTGGTTGGTTATCAGAACAGGCAAAGAGGCAAAACTTATTGCAAATGGTAAACATATTCTTTAACTCACCTAAATCATCATCTTGAATGTCTTTGCTATTACTGTAGGATGTGTAGTTGGAGGACGATGACTGCCACTCCGAGCTGCTGGACACAGGCAGAGGGTCAGCAGACTGAGCTGGTGGCGTCACGGACGCTGGGACATCTAAAGCAGCAACAGCACAAGTCAAAGGGAGGAAAATCAAAGGGAGATAATCATTACTGTACAACCTGTCTCCAGTGAGTCAGTCAGTGAGAGTCAGGTTTACACTGCTTTGAACAGTATTCTAGTTATATCACAAATGGCAGATATTTTACTGAGGTAGAAACATGTTATGCAATTTGTGTGTGACAATTTGACAGTTATAAATCTGATTTCATCAGACATGGGTCCTTTAGCTTAAATGGCATTGCATTTTAATCCAGGCACCATGTATAACTACAGTCTGTGACATCAGCCACTAGTCCAAAGCACAAGTCAAGTAAAATTCTGTTTGGTCTGTCAGCACAATAATAGTCACAATAATAGTCAGCATAATAAAACTCAATTCCACTGAAGATGAGTCTAAGGGGCAAGATTGGTTGAAGAGACTGTAACTAACATTGTGAGCATTACACTACATTACTTCTGATCCTTTCTTATTTTGGGACAGTATGCAGTGTTAGCAATTGGCACCAGTCCTATAGTCCTAACTAAACTGCCCAATAGTTAGCATCAGAGGGACTAATCAAAATTTGCCCTTTTTAAGGGTTTTGCTATATGTTATCATTTTAGGACTAAAACTTAGTTTCTATCGCTGGTGGGCATGACTAGTACCTGTAGCATTCTGTGGTATAACTTGAGGCGATGGCTTGACCAGCTTGTTGCATGGATAAGCTGAGCCACTACCTCCTGCACTGTAGTATGAAAGACTGTTGGCACTGTTCTCAAACATAATAGGTTTCCTGTTCGAGCCAATAGGGGCCACAGGTTGAGACTGAGGGGGAGGTGTAGATTGGGTGTTGGGCATGGGGAATGAGGGTTGAGAGGAGGGGGATTGTGAGGGAAGGGTTTGGCGAGGCCGGGGCACTGTGGATGCATTGTTCTGAGATATTGTGGGTGGAGCCAATTCTCTGTCAATGGGAGTGTCTGTCAATTCCTGGGGCCTGTCTGGCGAATGAGAGCTGAAACAAAATACATGTTTCATCAATATTTGTATGTCATCATTTTTAAAAACAATCCTCTTACTAATACAACCCAGATGTTCAAAGTCCCATATCCTTCATGTAATAAGAATTTCAACTTCAACTGTTAAGAAACAACATCAATGCAAACAATACTTTGAGCCTATCACTTGCCCCTAAGAAATGTGAATTGGCGCATTCAAATTAGCATTACGGGTCCTTCTGAGGCACCAGATTCCCGATGGTGCAATAAATGTCATAATCCGGGCCTCAAACTTCATAAATCCTACGTGGTTTGTTTATGGCAATTCACGAAAGATCCCAGTTGGTTTACAAAGCAATAGCTTCAGTTATCAGCTCTCTACAATTAGGAAGAATCCCAAAGCATAAGAAAATCAGGTAGTGATTGTTTTCTAGGTTATATAGTTACAGAAATACTTCATACTTGTCGACACCTAATGATAATATCTTACAGCTAGGTAACACGTAGAATATGCCACCAAAGAAAATAATCTCAAAATCAAATGACAGTAGACCAGACACTGAAAAGAGTGACCTTAAGTCTAGTCACCCATACCCTTCCCCTACAACTATTCAGGGTCCTGGGTAGCAGATAATGGGACAAGGGCTCATTAAAAGTAAGCAATAGGCCCATGGCCCATTTACATAACTTTTGTTTTTAAAAAAAGATATCTTTTTAACGATGTTAGTGAACTCACTTTATCTGTGTTTCATTGTCTGTATTGGTATTCCTTTTGCGGCCATTTCCAACCGCCTTGCTGTGATTGGGAGGTGTGTTTGACCTATTACTATGATTGACTGTACTGTGAGTCTGACGATTGCCATTGGGAATCCTCTCCCCTTTGTCCTGCCCCTGTAACGAAGGCCACGCCTCTTTGCTAGTGTTTGTTGGGGGAGGTTGTACTGTGGAAGGGCTGGGCTGAGACTTGGGTGGAGTCTCTACTGCAGGCTCTGGGGGATTTGGTTGGGGGATGTTCACCTGATCAGCAACAGGAGAACTAGATTTCTTTCTACAATGAGAATGGCATATAGTGGATGATGACATTATGCAAAAGATCAGTAGGATTTTTCAGGAAGGCCAAAATGCATCTCTGCTATAGAATGAATTACACAATGTACAGTTAACAAAAAGTTCAAAATCCTTCAATAGGGCCCAATTTTACAGGTGATCTAAACATTAAAATTAGCGACATTCTTCAAATAGAGTCACTGTCTCTAACTCAATTTGGGTGATCATCAATGATTCCATTGATATAAAACATACAATTAATATAATGAATAAAGGAAGTTATGGATCATGGATATTTGGGGGGATATTTTTAGGAAAGTATGTGCTCAGTCTTCACCACTCACAACATCCAAAAGAAATGTTCAGGATTCATAGGCCTTACTTAGAAGTTGATGGATGACAAAGTAGAGATAATCTATGGACAACAACTTCTTTATTTACTGTAAAGGCGACAAAACGTTATTCTCGAAATGACTTCATCAAACTTTCAGAATCTAGTCCCTCCTTACAGGAAAACAGTTACATACCTTGATTTCTTGTTATTTGTCGTGTGATTATTGGCTGTATTTTGACTGTTGAGGAACTGTTCTAACAGTTTTTGCTCATATTCTTGATGCTTACTGAAATGAGAAATGAATCCACGAGATGTTATAACTGAAACTGACGCCCTCACGAACGAATGATGTAAGTCCCTCATTAAAGGCTTGGGATTAACACCATTCATTCACTCGGTACAGATAATCCGTAATTCCTCCTCGCTTGTTGTTATTTTCTAAGTGTCACTCCTACTAGTAACTGAGGAGGAAGAGGAAGTCAATACTACTGCTACACTGTAGATGATGACAAATCATCCAGACATGTTCCTCATCCCTTGACTAGGAAGAGGATGCAAATATTCTGTACATCTGTACAATGCTTAGGTATCTTTCAATGAACAAACTTGTAAAAGCTATATATAAGTATACATAGTAACACATTCCTATGGGAATTCCAGGTTAGAATTGGTCCCTAGAAATCTATTCATGTAGTGGAGATTCCATGTTAGAATAGGACACCAGCAACCTATGCTGGTCATGGAGATTCCAAGTTAGAATTGGACCCCAGCAACCTATGCTGGTCGTTAGAGGAAACAAAATGAATAGGATGGTGAGGCTCGGTCACACCCCAAAGATGTGGATCGTTGCTCACAAATCAATCACTGTCTTGTCTGGTCCAGACTTGATTACTTACAGGCTGTAGACACATAACTGGAATATAGCAGGGTGCAGCGTTACACAACGAACTAAACATAATAACACAGACATGGTGGTGATCAAGTCCTTGTAATTTCACACATACCCCATTTGCATCTCTTCTTTGGTGAAGCTGGCTGCTTCCTCTCCCAGTTCATGTAAGTACATACAGTCCTGAAAATATCATCATAATCCTCAAGTTTCTCATTCAAAATTGTTAAAGAAAAACAACACGTTTTTCCCAGTACAGACCCAAACAATATAACGAAGGAAATCAATCAAAATGAATGGTTGGTTGGTTTGTTGTTTAACGCCACACTCAGAAATATTCCAGCTATATGACGGCGGTATGTAAATAATCGAGTCTGGACCAGACAATCCAGTGATTAATATCATGAGAATCGATCCACGCAATTGGGATATGATGACATGCATCAACCAAGTCAGCGAGTCTGACCACCTGATCCCATTAGTCGCCTTTTACGGCAAGTATGGGTTGCTGAAGACCTATTCTACCCCAGATCTTCATGGGTCCAAAATGAATGGAAACATAATATCTTTTCAGTATTTACTTACAGATTTCTGACACTGTGAGCCCCGTAGAAAGTGACTGCAGTACTTAGTAGTACCAAGGGAGGCTTTTAGTGTCCTCCCGTCTATGTGGACATTATTTACAGCTAGGATAGCTCTGAGAGCATCATCCGACCGAGTGTAAGTTACATATGCACTTGCACTGGGACCCTGAAACAGTTACAGACTTCCATGAGTTTAGGTGTTCATGACAGTAGTACGCTTCTCCTCACACAACATATTACAATTTCCTTCTTCACTTCGATCATGTAACACGGAACGAAAACTGAATACAGAATACGATGTAGAGACATCCAAGGAAGGTAACTGAAATTCTGTTCTTAAGAACGTATGTATTATAAGACCAATGTTAAAATTCCCAAAAAGCAAGCAATGTGAAGGAAAGAGGGGCATCAAGGACTTTTCTGAAACTGATAGGTAACCATTGACAACAGACATCCTGGATGTGGAAAAGGCATGTTTTGGGGTTTGTCTAATAAGAAAGAAGTGAAGAAGGAAATTGATAATGTGTCAAAATGGGAAATAATTACATATTTACAGACATAAACCTACATATTTAGCTGGAAAATATTAATTCAGCTTAAACTGGTGCAAGAATAACATGAACAACATACTAAAAGTTTTAACATTTAATAATTGTCAAAGAATCCATCTGTCATATTGTTGAAAATAAATAATAAATGAACAAAACAACTGCTCTTCTTTAACTCAAGATTATTAAACCTGCATTAACCGTATGAATTCAATTGGCATCCATTAACAATTTCCAGCTGGGAGTGAATGAACTGGTACTGACACCACCAGTCTGTACTGAAGGTGACAATTGTAACTAAGGGCCTTATTAGTCAGTCTCCTCAACCTGTGTGAAATTACTGCAGCCATCATGACCATCACTCAACACATAACAGATAAGTTATTGTTCAACATATAAAAGTAAGTTTAAACTGGAAAAATGCAGTTTTTCAGAACTCTATGAACCACAATCAATAACAAACACATGCCAAGAAAAGTTGATAGGCATTACTTAGGAGTTAGCGGATGACAAAGTGGACAATTAATGGATAACAACTTCTTTTATACTGTAAAGGAAACGTTTCGGTATAAATGCTTATAACGTTGTCAAGCAAGACATGACAACATTTTTGTCGTCTTTAATTGACAATGGTATAAGAATCTACACCGAAACGTCACCTTAACAGTATTAAAGAAGTTGTTATCCATAAATTGTGTTCACTTTGACATTCCTAGAAGAGTGTAACTGCAGTACTCACATGGACTTGAGCACCTGCATATGTAGTGCTCTGGTTGATCACAACTTTGTGGATTTTCCCGAACTTGCCAAAATACTCATGCTTCTTGAGGACATCTGCCTCAGCAAGTCGCTGGGACAGTCCCACCACGAACACCAAGTTCTTCTGAACCACCCTGGAGACAGAGAGGACACTGTTTCAAGAAACGACATTAGTGCAATTGTTATTTGGAACAGTAGGATAGAGTTTGTTGACTTGTATCAAAAAGGTAAGAACTAGAATTATTAAAGATTACAGGTGTGACCATAAATAGATCTAGTGACAGAATGCTCATTTAATGTAAGATGTCCACCTGTTTCACTCTCAGGTTTGCTTGTATGTTGTGTAATGCCACACTCAGCAATATTCCACGGTGGCAGTCTATAAATAATAATTCTAACCCTGATCTTCACGGGTGGCTTCACTCTCAAAACGAGTAGCTTTACCAACAATGACCTAGTGTCATAAAAATCACATCTCTAGAAAAAAGGTTGTCTTTTTGCTACATGCACCTGATTTTTTCTTTTGAATAAATTGTAAATTAATATACTTATCCTATCTCACACTATGCATTTCTCCTTCTTTCGATTTTGGTGCAGAAACGCCCAAGAACAAAGTTTCCAACTTCAACAAACATTTCGCTTGAACACATCCCAGCATCACCATGGTCACCACCTCAACAAATGGGTCACGCACTGTAATCCCGTGGATCTCAACCCTACACGACCAGATACATGCTAAGACGAGAACAGGTATGGATTGACAACATCCAAAAGAGGATCATAAGATCAAAACTGAGTCATGATATATTCAAGGCAGGTAAGGGTTGGCACACCGCCAAAACAGCCACGCTTGCGATGACTTCAACGTTAAATGTCGCTGAAGCCTCCACATAAATGCGTAGAGCTCTAACAGGGCATAAGGAGATGTCTTCATGACCATCTAGATTCAAAATGGATGCTGGAGAAGGGATGGTTAGAAACCAATCTGGTTTGCTTGGGAGTCGATTCTTCGAAATAAAATCCCAATGAAGTCCCAGGTATACCTTCCTGTGACTGCCTCTCTCAAAAGATCATGATTTTCGCTAACTTTGTGGATCCATGTTGTTTATATACAAGACCACTGGTGCATTGCCTGACTGGATCAAGAGCTGCAATGTATGGAGGACTTGGGCTCAATGATATACTGCCAAAATTACTGCCTTGAATTCCAAGTTGTTGATATGAAGCTCCTCTTCGGCTAAGAATCAATGCCCTGCCACCTGAAAATCTAGAAGGTGAGCTCTCCAACCTATGGTTGAGGCATGGACGAACAAGTGATGGGTCGGGATGAATGGCTTTAAAGAGACTCAACCACAGACATTCAATTCCTGAAGCCTCTACTGGAGACGTTGGTGTAGTGACAATGGATCGGGAAGTTAAACGTCTACCACTTTGGTGAAACCCACAAGCATGGAAACATAGAAACGTAATGGGGGCAAACCGGGATTCGGATGCCAAATCATAGGTTTCTGGAGTGCCCAAGGGACGCAACTCTGCACAGCCACCCGTGCCCCCAAAACTTGTGTGAGGGATTGGCTTCCCCGTCTTTGCGCTGTTCATCCTGGTTTGATACAGGGGATGAGAGTTCACTTTGCTGAGAGTCTGAGATGCACATCAGCTTCAATCTTCATAGTTTATTGGTGACTTCTCATAAGAAAGTACGGTTAGATGATCCGTGACAGGCAGCGTGGCAATAACCAGGGCGTTGTCAATCGCACAAGTCGTAGTCGTTTGGTGTGGTCGTAGCTTCAGCGTGAAAATTGAACTGAAGGAAACTATCAGAGGCTATATCATCTTCAAACAAAAGTGGCATAATATTAATTTGCTTTGTCTGTTTGAATAAGGAAACGTCCGATCTCACTGCCTTCTGAGTAACTTGTTTGGTTTTGAATGGATGAAGGTCTGTGTTCCGTCTCTCCAGACAATGACTTGGATAGCTGACCCATACTACACCAAAATCTTCTTATGTGTTTACATTGAGAACATCTGTTGGATAATTGTCATTGTCCAGGATAATTGCAACACATGGAGTTAGGCTCAACAAGAGAAAGAGTATGATAGCACATTTTACAGAATGGATGTTTCTTCATATTCATCTGTTCAAAATGTTGTGGTCGTAACAGGAAGATTTTAAAAAAATAATGTAATTTTCTATGGTTCAAACATGTCCAATGAGGCAATGAGAAAGAGAATGATGTGGCAGGTTATGTAAGGTTGTGATGCACAGGATTACGGGAGGTGGTGACCATGGTGATGCTGGGATGTGATCAGGCGAAATGTTTTTTGAACCTGAAAACCTTTGTTCTAGGGCATTTCCACACCAAGATCAAAAGGAGGAGGAGAAATACATAGTGTGAGATATTAAAATTTACCTGTTACGAAAATTTGAAAATGACAAACTGCTACATAAAATATTCAAAGTATAAAGAGTAACTCCACACATACCTGACATTTGCCAGGTGTTTTCTATTCTCCGCTGCTTTCTGTTTTCTCTGAAGGTCCTTTTGGCGCCTCTCTTTCTTAATTCTCGATAACCTGTTACAGAAACCAGAATGTGTGACAACAAAACAATAATCTGTGGAAATTGTTTTAGTTTTCTTTTACTAATAAAAGCAACACATACATAAATGACAAATGCAAATTCTACTTACTCATCTTCTGTTAGAGGTTTGAACTCTGCTGGGTCTTCTGGGTATTGCTGAAAAAATAACATGCAATGCATAAACTCCTGTGAGCAAGAACTGTTTGTTACTGCAACAATTTCAAAGCTACTAAATGACAACCATTTTGCAGCAGAAACAGACAAACAAGCAGTGATTTACATCAGGGGTTGACAACTTATTGAAAATGTTACTTGACCAAGGGCAAGAAAGACCAACATTATTACTTGCCCTATTTCAAAATTAACTTGCCCAGAATCAAGATAATAAAGTCAGTAACACTTTCTGCTTCAGAACTGAGATCCACCTCACCAGTTTTGGTAATAAAAGAGTGACCCTGGGACAGCTTTGTCTAGTTTGTATTTTTTGTACTCTACAACTGGTTAGTACTACCTTCCAGTAACACAGGTGTATGATAAGCTTAACTTACTCAAGCTTGTTTGCTTATTTTGGCTGCTAAACCACCATTGCTGCCAAGCATTACTGGAGTATCTTGGGATACTTGACCCAGTTTACTTTGTGTGCCATACTTGTCCACAGATGTGCAAGAAAACATATATTACTTGCCCAATTCCAAAATTTAATTGGCATGTGTGTCGGGCAATGGCATAATTTAACCCCTGTCACATGAACAACAACCATTGCTGTCCTACCTAGTACTGGGGAACATACATGAACAACAACCGATGCTGTCCTACCTAGAACTGGGGAACATACATGAACAACAACCGATGCTGTCCTACCTAGTACTGGGGAACATACATGAACAACAACCGATGCTGTCCCACCTAGTACTGGGGAACATACATGAACAACAACCGATGCTGTCCCACCTAGTACTGGGGAACATACATGAACAACAACCGATGCTGTCCCACCTAGTACTGGGGAACATACATGAACAACTAATGCTGTCCCACCTAGTACTGGGGAACATACATGAACAATAACCAAAGCTGTCCCACCTAGTACTGGGGAACATACATGAACAACAACCGTTGCTGGCCCACTTAGTACTGGGGAACATACATGAACAACAACCGATGCTGTCCTACCTAGTACTGGGGAACATACATGAACAACAACCGATGCTGTCCTACCTAGTACTGGGGAACATACATGAACAACAACCGATGCTGTCCCACCTAGTACTGGGGAACATACATGAACAACAACCGATGCTGTCCCACTTAGTACTGGGGAACATACATGAACAACAACCGATGCTGTCCTACCTAGTACTGGGGAACACACAAGAACAACCGATGCTGTCCCACCTAGTACTCAGGAACATACATGAACAACAACCGATGCTGTCCCACTTAGTACTGGGGAACATACATGAACAACAACCGATGCTGTCCCACTTAGTACTGGGGAACACACATGAACAACCGATGCTGTCCCACCTAGTACTGGGGAACATACATGAACAACAACCGATGCTGTCCCACTTAGTACTGGGGAACATACATGAACAACCGATGCTGTCCCACTTAGTACTGGGGAACATACATGAACAACCGATGCTGTCCCACCTAGTACTGGGGAACACACATGAACAACAACTGATGCTGTCCCACCTAGTATTAGGGAACATACATGAACAACAACTGTTGCTGTCTCACCTAGTACTGGGGAACACACATGAACAACAACCGATGCTGTCCCACCTAGTACTGGGGAACATACATGAACAACAACCGTTGCTGTCTCACCTAGTACTGGGGAACACACATGAACAACAACCGTTGCTGTCTCACCTAGTACTGGGGAACATACATGAACAACAACCGTTGCTGTCCCACCTAGTACTGGGGAACATACATGAGCAGTGGCAGGATCTCCTCTCGTAGATACTACCTTTGGATGAAGTTTAAGTTTCAATGTCTGTTTACAGATAGTACCATCAGCATGTTCAGCCAAACTGACAAGATTAAACATGGTCTGTAACTGTGACATCGTTTGAGAGTTGCAATGCTCAGCGGACCTCACCTTTCTGCAAGCTGGACACAACCCATTCTCATCTGTCCTTATTCTGTGCCAACAGAATCTGCATATCTAAAACAAAAATAGAATTTGTAAACACGGACTTTGTAAAAAAACTAAATAAATTAACACTTGTGATTCTCAGGGGTGTGGGGGTTGGGGATGTGGGGGTGTGGGGGGTATCTCTCAGATTGGAAAGGAAGTATTGTGCAAACTCACAAAAAAACAAACAAATTTGGTTTCCCTTTCAGTATTAAATATCACTAGGAACACTGGTTAGTCAGGACCACAGAGATCCACCAGGCCAGTACACATTTCTAACTGCAACAACAATATTTCCATCATATAACAACTCGTCAGTTTAATGACATGATATGAAATGATGTAAGATTTGTCCAAAATGTAACAAACACCCTGTGACTTACTTGGTATCCACAAGTGCAGGGAAAGAAATTCACATCATCTATTTCCAACAACTCCATGCATAGAGGACACTGAAAACAAGGGTTATACATATATATTAAAACAAGTTGAGTAATTGTGACTGTATAAGGGTCCATAATGAAACGTCACAAGTGCAACGTAATAAGGAAGGCGGTATCCATAGTGTCGACTTTGTCATCCGTCAACTTCTAAGAAATGCCTATCAAACAATTTATGTACTGTATATCGCCGTATATACAGCGACCTCACGTATAAGGCATGCCCCGCTGTACAAGCCATCAAAATCAATGGTAACTTATATACCCCATCTAAAAAGCAAATCGGAATGAAGCACGTCATCAGCGCATACACAATCCCTACATTTGCAATAAAAACATGTTTGTCTTCCGCTTAATCAATATACATCGAATCCCTTCAGCAAATTCAGGGAAACGAACTGATCATAACAAATAAACTTGGTCAATACAAATTTAAAATAATAATAATATCACTTAAAAGAATTTTGAAACAATGATCGGAAGAATTGTATCTGAAACTATTATTTTATCAGGAATTATTTATTCCAACATCATGTTATTTTAGTCGCAGCTTTACTAAATATATATGAAATAAATGAATAACCACTAGCGAAGCATAGGCTCAGCAGATCGCTATTGACTGATATATTTTTGCATGGAACAATTTGACCAATCACTCCCGATGCTTATGCACTTGCGATAGGGAAAACTTTATGTTGACATATAATAAATAGTCAAACTACAACAAATGTGACTTTCGGCAAGACAATGTATGACATTTATGATATATATATATATATCCATTCTCTATTCACCAAAGTTTGTTTTACGGAGTCAATAGCGGTAATCTGACCATAGTTGCTGTAAATAACAGCAATCTTCTGATCGCTTTACATACGATTTCTCCAAAATGAATGTCAACAATATTGAATGAAATTTTAGATAAAATTAATAAAATAGACTACGAACATAACTCCAGATATACAATGAAGACTGTTTATAACCAGACAGTGTAATTACACGAATAGTTTATGTACTTCAGTACAGATTTGTTGACATGGTATTTCTGGTGTTTCGTGCTTACGGTAATATCTTTGTGTTGGCAGGGGTAAAAACATCAAAACTCTTTAACCCTGTGTCTAAGACAACACCCCTTGAAAGCCCCTAATTCTTGGTATGAAAAACTCGCCTTATACACAGCAATATACGGTAATTAATAAAACCATACTATAAATCATTTGCATGAAGTTGAAATATAAATGTAACTCTTTGTGGTGACGTTGGTTATTCCATATTTACAACAAAACATTCTACTTCAACATTCAAGTTCCTCAATAGATAAATCCAAGTGTCCCATCATCAAAAATTAACCTACTTTGCCCATACAACATATATTGTGATGTAAAGGTGGTAAAAGATTGAAGACAAAAGATGCCACATGACCATGATGACAGCCACTCTTCTGGATACAAGTGTGAAAGTGCCTCATACATCATTGTAACAGGCTTAAGCTGGTAAATGCTTACTGTCAATCAATGAAATAAGCATAATAAATAGGGTATCAGGTGTTGTCTGTTAACCATGAAATTAACATATGTCAATATCATAAAACCTCACCTCGACTTGCTCTTCTCCTGCCATTGTCAGTTATAAATCACAGCTTGTAGACAGCACTGGTATGAAATCTGCATATGAACAGAAATTTTGAGATAGTACCAGCTGTTCACACTAACCACAGCACAGAGCCACTGGCACATGTCTAATATTATAAGAAAAAGCAACGCCAACACAACATTATCTATAAAATAATCCAGGGTAGGAAATGATAGGGACTTTCAGTCATAAGGAAATAGTTTGTTAGTCATCAACAAGGAACTATTTTATCATGGCAGGTTTCACATATTCCCGGTATTTCAAATTATTTACGGTATTCAGTATCTTCATAACAATTGTTGAGCTGCTTTCATTCATGAATAAATAAACAATAGGTTTGTTTATATAACACTGACAGTGATGAACAACAATTCATGTTAGTCGAACCTTGTGTCAAACTCGGGGGACCAGGAAAAAAGTTCAAAGTTATCTGGGATTTGAGACAATCAACAAACCAAATTTTCGAAAACCAGGAGATTATCACCCTGTCCAGATGCAACACTAGATTTCAAGGCATACATTAATTTCAGGACCGTGGCTAGTGGTAGTGAAGGGGGTGACAACTCAGGTGCATCATCGATCTCACTGTCGCTGTCTGGTCCAGTGTCATTGTCAAAGTCGTAGCTTGAATAATAGATTCACCAACATAATCTTAACCAATGTTAACACGTTTTACACAATTCTCAAATGTCATCAAATGAACACTTCGAATCATCAGGGGAATGTTATGTTTAATTTGGATACTTGGGACTTCCAACTGAGTTGAGAAAACGGAATTTGACCAGTATAAATGATGAAAAATACAGATGAAAAATTGCAGGGAATGGAAGGGAAGCCCAAGACAATCAGGAATTTGACGAGGTTCGGCTGCATGTCCATGACGTACATGGTATTGTATACATGAATTTTCCATCTAAAATTTGGCATTTCATTTTAAGTGATAACAGCATTACCAGTACTACACCAAACTATGATCAGTTTGTCAACAATAATTTCATGAATTTCAGCTATTAGAAATAGATGTTTGAAACCACAAAAATAAGTCAATCTTACTTTTTGTGAAGCATGAAAACTTCTAACCAAGAAAACAAAACAGAAAACCTCACAGCCAATACTATTTATATCAACAGATGTCAATATTGAAAATCAGAAGACTGACTAACCCTCATGCATAGTATTGCAATTTACATAGTATTATCTTCAACAATACCATGTTTCTATGTTTACAATTTGGCAAAATAATTGCAATATTGCTACACCACCAGTATTGATTCTATTCACAATGGTTATTTTAAAAAAACAACAAGACTGAACATGTCTTCAAACCTCACATTTGCAATCTAAACTCTAAAATGAATGAATTTTTTTAAAATGAACATTGGACCCACCTCCACAACAGAATGAAAAGGCTAAAACCCTATAAACAAGCTACAGCAAATGCAAGCAAGATTTGAAGTTTAGTGATCATGTAACAAGTTACATGATCTTTTTCCATGTTTTCTTGTTCAACATGTTTGATTTTCCAAGTTGCACAAACTGAAAACAAAAGAGGGTACTGGAAAAATCTAACATGCATTTATCTACAGCAACCTGCTGCTTTGCCCTTACAAAGATACTGCCACAATTTCCATGTGCACTGCTTGTAAAACATCCTCATAATGATAGGCTTCCAAAGTGGAAAGCAGTTAACAAATTAATGTCTGACTTCATACCAAAAACAGCAGACATAATACCTCATTGCAATTACATTCCACAGAAAAAGGTACAATGTGCATTGTCAGTCCTTTTAATCATATTACCTATGTTACATTCAAGATAACTACCAGACATTTCACACTGTCAATATGGAACCAATCTATCAGCATGATCAGGTAGACTGCACAGTACTTTCCCTAAGTTGAAAACCACTGAGTGCTTTCATCTCTTTGGACATGTTACACATTCTATCGCTATCACGACGCCTGGTTTAAAATATGTCCACAAGTTAAATACAAATATGAATTGAAAGGTATGACTGAATGCTAAAATGTCGACGTTACATATTTCTGCTGGCAGATTGCAACAATCCACACATCTGTCAACAGAGTGGCAACGCCTTCATTTCGAAGGTTTAAAAATTGGAACACAAGTTCAGGAAAAATGTATTTGGCCATCTCTGTGACAAACGAAAGCATATACGTAAATACTGAAATGTTTACATACGGAACATTTGACGTTTGGCAACTTTCCAATATCTAATGATGAAAAGACTTCCAGTTATTTGACCTATCCAATTTCGACTTCGACGGAAGCCCAAGGACGTTTGATTTACCATGCGTCGTGTACCTCGCGGAGATAAGACACATATCACATATTCAAACAGTATCTGAATCAATATTGTTCTTATCCTTTTACTTGTAACGAATTATGTTCAATACAACCCGACTTACGCCTCTAAAATATCTCCGATTCCTACCGGGTTCTGACTACTAGACACAAATTGTTCGTGTGCGCAATCATTTGCGCAAGCTGCCCGGATGTCTCGCGTGTTAAAAGAGTTTCTCGCGTTGATTCTCGAGGGGAATTCCTTTCTATTATATCTATCTCACATTGTGATTGGATAAAATAATTTACTACGAATATTCTAATTGGCTACTTAAAATTAATCCTGGAATTTACCATGTTGATACATGTAATATTTTGCAAAGAAATAAGTGAGAATGTCTTTCAAAAGAGAATCTAATGACGGAAGTTCTCTTAATTCATTAAGGGTTGGTAGTACAGTATTTTTTTAAATCAAAATCCTATAATATGTATTTGAAATTTCTACAGATCTAACTATAATCGAAGAAAAAAACTCACTCTGGGTTGTCGACAAGTCAAGAGGTAGGCTAATGACACACTAGCGCGATGATGACGCACTGATGATGAATGCTATCGTGAGAAAAACCCGAGGTGTATTTTTGGCTTTTTTAAAATACAATTGTCGGGACATTTACTGTTGAAATCGATAACGTAGAACATGTGTGGAAATACCCGTCGTTTATCAAATCTAACTGACAATTTAGACAATAAAATTATTACCCTTGTAATAACCTCACTATTTACTATTTCAGTGACTGGTGGAAATCTAATCTTAATTAAAAAAATGTGTTATATCGAGGAAAGTGTAAAGGGTTAACCCAGCAAGTTTACCTGTTAGTGCAGCCTGTACGATGATTGACAATTAATAATGATACTTACTGGTAATAAAAATTGAGATCCCTCACATATTAATTTGCCATCAATATAATGATTCATACTCAAATTACGACCCTTATGAAGCTGTTATTAGTTTCAAAAGTGATGTTCAGATTGTTGTTAATGAAGGAAGGATGACAGTTTTTGAAAGTTAATCTGCACACATACTTTGGTGTGATAGTAAGGATATAGGCTAGCACTTATTAACTGGTAGCAATATGATTATGTTGAAATAGTAAATTAGTGCTTGTTTTTCTCATCTCATTCGTTTGTCTGATAGTATGCACAAGGTATGCTGATTTATTTTTATATATAAAGAATATAAATTATATATCACAAAAAACTGGTGTAATTTTAGTTAAGAATTATTCAATGTGTTGTTGGTATTCCTATGGTAATTCATGTCTCCTGCTCCTGACATCATATCATGACTATTGTTGAAACCCAGTTATTTTGCAAGTGACGGATGGCATTTCGACATTTTCAAAAAAATTTAAATGAACAACTTTTCTTTTATATCATTACCAAATTTACAAAAAGATATTTGGATGATAATCGGTCAATGAAATCCAAGTCCATGTAGCTGTGTAAAGCTAAAAGCTGAACTCTGGGCCCTACTACCATCTCAGTTATCAATACGTGGAAGATGTTGTCATCATGGTCATAGCAGGACAGACATTAAAATGTCTCAAGTCTAATAAGTGCTATTGGGACATGACATCTATGTCTAGGTTCAGTCACTATATGGCTGGGGCAGTCAAGTAGCCTAGTGGTTAAAGGGATGGCTCGTCACGCTGAAGGCCCGGGTTCGATTCCCCACATTGGTAAAATGTGTGAAGCCCATGTCTGGTGTCCCCCACCGTGATATTGCTGGAATATTGCTAAAAGCGGCGTAAAACTCACTCACTCACCCACTCACTCACTATATGGCTGGGATATTGCAGTCGTGATGTTACTCTTGTGACACTTCTTTTACTCAAGGGGCCAGTGGGGTAGCCTAGTGGTAAAAGCCTTTGCTCGTCACGTCGAAGGCCCGGGTTCGATTCCACACTTGGGTACAATGTGTGAAGCCCATTTCTGGTGTCCCCCCGCCGTGATATTGCTGGAATATTGCTAAAAGCGGTGTTAAACCATACTCACTCAATCACTCACTCACTCTCTCACTCAAAGTACCTCAGATGAGTTTGCTGTGTTAATCCTTATCAGTGTTGTATTTAACATTATCTGTCAGCCATCATAAGCAAAATTGGCATCTATGACTTTGCTTATTTCTACAGTTGTTAATATTTGTGACAAAATCCATGTCAGGGTGTTTCAGGTGCAGTGTTTCAGGTCAGGGTCACAGTGGGGTTGTTGACAGACAGACAGACAGACAGACAGTTGTTTATTTTCGTCTCACCTTTGATTACACCTTAAATAGTACATCACATACACACACACACTATGCATGCATGCATGCACACACACACACACACACACACACACACACCCACACACACACACACACACTATGCATGCATGCATACATACATACATACATACATACATACATACATACATACATACATACATACATACATACATTCAAAATGTTCAAAATATAGTAACAAATGTAATTTCAGGGCCTATTTCGAGATTATTTTCCTAGAATAATGATTTAGATAAGCCTCAAGAAAAACATGATTTCAATAAAATGGCATTAATATTTTATATTTTACCTTAGCCTGACTCATACTAATTGTTAACTTCATCTCATTATGAAAACGTAGTGGAAACTCCTGTGCCATGTTCCAAAAAAACAGAAAATCATCTCTCCCGAACACACCCCTAGGCCCCGGCAGCCACACTGGAAGCGGGTGACTAAGCTAGTACACTTGTCGCACTCTTATGTTTGCACCAGCCGGGTGGTTGGGCTAAATAGATGTCAGGTTACTGACCCATAACCACCGACCGAGAGTCCACGCCCTCTGTATTACTATGTAATTCAGATATGAGTGATAACGATTGTGTCAAGATTATGACCTTTTCTTAACAAGGGAACCTCAGTAAGCTGGAATGTGGTTCTATGAGCACTTACAAATCCGTGAAGTCTCCTGATTTTGTCCAACTCTGACAAGTACGGAGGTTCCCATGGAGTTAATTGAACAGATCATGATCTGAAAGACGGTAAATCCCACCACCAACTGTGGGATTCAAACAATTAGTATGAGTCAGGATAAGGTAAAATATGTATTTTTCAGGGTAAAATATGATTTATGCTTATCCTGACTCGTACGCTATAGCACCTACTATGCTGTCCCCACTTCAAGTACCGTATTCGACGTAATAAGCGCCCCGTTCTAATAAGCACCCACGGCGATATTTGCTGATATATTGGCTGGTGAACAATCCCAATTAGCGCCCCTTCCGATTGATCAATGTACACAAGACATTTATTCGCGTATAATACGCACTCATGTGTTATATGCACCCTTAATTATGGGCAATTAAATTCTGGGAAAATATATCTATCGTATATAAGCATTTCAGGCTGTCACCATAAACCACAAAATTTATCTTTCAACTCTTTGAGAGCGCCCTGGGCGCTTATTACGTCGAATACGGTATACGTGTGAAGCCGGTAAGGGTAAGCGAAATGACAGTGATGAGCGTACTGTCTTGGTCACATGCTTCCAGAGCAACTGTGGACTGAGAGGTGTGTTCAGGTGAGATGATTTTCTCTGTTCTTGGGAACACAACACAGGAGTTTAAGTACCTTTTCGGAATGAGATGAGACAAGAAATTAGTATGAGTGAGGATAAGATATGAATAAGATAACCCTTAAAATTATATTTTTAATTTTTGGTAATGGACCTCCATAAAACAAGGAAGTGCATTGGTCTTCCTCAGAGCAGAAATACCCTCTTTTTTTCTTGTTTTAACAGCAAAGACGAATCAGGGACCTGCTAGCTGTTGACATCCCTGAAGATGAAGCCACCCTGCTAAGCAATGGAAGGTAATGCATGATCACACACATTATTAATTAGTTCTGATTAAATTTATTTTTTCATTATTTTGAAAATGAGTAAATTATTTGATCAAATGTATCTGTCGTTCAGCAGAGAAAGTAGTCCAATCAGTACGTCTCTATTGTAAATTTCAGCAAACACCATCTCATCTTTCTGATGGGCGTCCTTTACAAAACACCCAAATAAATAACAAAATAGATTATGCCACTACAAGGAAATATTATAAATCTTCCGAAGTAACTAAGGACTTTGTTTCATATTTAATCGAGTAATTTGTTACGGAAAATGGATAAATTGTTAATTTCTTGCAGGCCACCATTTTTTTTGTACACTAGAACAATGGGATGTAGTACATTTCCATTCATTAATTCGCAAGAATGTCAATGTATGCACACCTGTGTTTGGAGGTATCGTGACAGAATCATTGCACAACATGATCAGAGAGCACAACAACATATGCTACTGAGGATTGCAACAACTGAATGCACTTACACCCCTCAGTGTAAAAGACGTCGTTTGACGACCGAAGAATTAGGCAGATGCATAGGCATGCTTGAAACTCGACAAAATGTCACGTTGCAAACATCTTTGGTGACATCGTAAGTGTGATCAGCATGGCTTGGAATCTATGTTTGGATCGATCAGATACCAGGCAACAGGCAGCGTTCCACAACACAGTGGGAAGACAGCTTTCTCCTGATGGCAGCAAGATGTCATCACTTCGTGACTGCCACCATGCTCAGAAATGACATGCGGAAAGCCTGTGGTGTTAACGTTTCTACTCAGTGCGTAATCCCCACACCCCACTGACCTAACATCACAGACAGGCACGTTTGTATTGGGCTGAAGATCACATCAATTTGACAGATTGGGCTCCAGTACTTTTCACTGATAAGTCGAGATATTGTCTCGACTTCACAGACCGTCATGCCTGAGTGTGGAGAAAGACAAGGATAAAGATGTCAGGATTCTAACATAGCTGAACATGACCGCTATGGAGGGGACTCAGTCAAGATTTGGGGTGGGATCAGTAGAACTGGAAGAACCAATCTCCACGTCCTATGAGGCACGATGACAGGTGGGCTACAGGTGTGACATTCTGGATGTGTATGTGAGACCGTATGCTTGTGCAATTGGACCAGACTTCATCCTTATGGACCTCATAGTGCCAGGGTCATTGATGCCTACATAGAGCAGGAGACCATTGTCCGTATGGAGTGCCCCATCGAACGCATGTCAAACAAGCTGCAGATTTCACAATCCTCTGTCCTTCCAGCAACTCTACAGGAACTTGGCAGTGCTCTTACTGAAGAGTGGAACAATCTTCCCTTGGCAACCATCCAGAAACTTATTGAGAGCATGAGACGATGGTGCTAGGCTGTGATCAAATCGCATGGATCACATACATGCTACTGAGAGTTGTTTTTTGGACAATGAATTTGTTTCATGTTTTTTTTTACATTTCAGGTTCGTTTTGATAATCTCATTTTGACAGATGATCTGACTGATTATTGGTCGCATTTTGTTTGTTGGCATTGTGTGGCACATGGCAGCAAGAAATTGGCTATGTTGCCAGAGGGTATGTTATGAGTTGTAGCAGGATCACGAGGGGTACATGGGGTTTTATACATTCTGCATTAGGTTTTAAACTTAATGAGATGATGAAACCCCATGTTCCCCGAGTGATCCTGTTATGCCAAGTTTATCATACCGACATGTTTTAATATGACATTGTAAAAGAATTAAAACAGATTGAAACTTGATAGAAAAGAGCTGTTCGACTGAGTCACGTGACTTTCATTGACTCAGAAAAAGCATGCTGCTTTATGCTTTGAAGCAGAATATAAAGGATTTATTCTCCTTCTCAGAAATATGTGTGCAGCCTGTTTTTTTCGTGGCGGGGTATACAGGATTTATTCTCCTGCTGAGAAATTTATTTCCCTTCAAGGCAGGATACAGTAACTTGTTATGATGTGAAATGGACAGTTATTAACAACTTCGAATATCTCATTACAGATTTGCATGTGTCGTGTGCCACCATAAGCCTGTGTTTGACACAGTCGACATGTTGGCAGTTCATCGCAGTGGGAAGAGACATGAAGCCAGTAAGTGGGCCCACATTGTAGCAACAAAAGCAGATAGTACTGTCCATTACAAGAGTGTGTTATGGTAGTATTATGGAAAGGGGATATAGGAATGGGTGCTGTCCATCCGTCCATCCGTCACGTTTCATTTCCGAAGCAGAACTCATAAACCGTGAGAGACATCCTAACCAAACTTGGCACATAGATAGGTCAAATGATGAACTGGTGCCTTTTGATAGTATGGGATTTTTTTAAAATTTATTTTTCAAGTTTCCAAGGCAAAGACTTTCATTTAATTGAAAATGGGGGTAGTGCTTGTTTCCAGAGCAGATCTTTAAAATGTGCCATGCACTCAACCAGACATGTTATATTGGCAGGGGATATGAGTATTTCATGCTTGTTGATCAGTGCCAGGTAGGATTCTCAGAACAAAACTATCACATGACTAGGTTCGATTTAAGCAACTTGATTTAACTTGCACCACATGCATATTGACATGACAAACTTGTTGCACCAGACAAAACTAGGTTGCACCCAGGTCCCATAATTTATCCTAGTTGAAACATGTGCCCATTATGTTGTAGTCCCCATACTTTGATGACATCAAGCCAAAATAGCCTGACAACTTACACACAACACAGGGATTACTGATGTAGTATGGTAAATAAAGCTTAGAGGTATTGAGTGTGTTCAAGGACTGATGTGTCGACAAGTAAGAGTTAGACACAAACTTGAAAGATTTTGACATGCACTTGGTATAAATATTAGATAGGTTGCACTGGTGCATGTTTCTATAGCTAAATCAACCCCTGCATGACCACAATAAATAGAGTATTATTATGATTATTATGATTATTATTATTATATGGCACTTTTTTCCAAATTTATTGTTGCTCAAATGTTCTAAAACCCGGATAAATCATATAAATCTTATCATTATCCCAATCACTGGGCCAGTGTGAAGTCAGTTTTCATTCTCTGCTCCCTGGGAAGTATACACTCCAAGTAATCCGTGAGGTGCTAGGTTAAGTCACAATACCATCTCCTCCTATATTATTTGTTCTTCAGGAATTGAGTAAGAAATAATTTTGTAACAAGAGTTCAAGAGTCCTGAATAGTAATGATTTGATATTACAGATTTTACATCATATAAATTTTCTCTCTGCTGAGAGTCATACATTCTCTACTTCTAATATTGACATACATATTTTTGCAAGGTAATCAAATAAGTATATTAATATGGTAAAATGTCTATGATCAGAGGGGCAGTCGGGTAGCCTAGTGGTTAAAGCGTTGCTCGTCACGCCAAAGACCCGGGTTTGATTCCCGACATGGGTGCAATGTGCAGTGTTCGAAATACCTGCCTGCCCGACCGTCCAAGACGGGTTGATTTCAACTCGGGCTGCCAGATTTTCAAATCACCCTGCCCAACGGTCGGGTTATATTTCATATGTGAAAATATTCTAAATATTTCCTGATGATAAGCATTAATTCACATGTAAAGATGAATGATAAAATGTAACCAAAAAGAAACCTCGTTAGCTTATCCTGAGAAACATATGATTATAGTGGGCAGGCAGGTTTTGGTCAGGGCTGGCAAGTATTTCAGCTAGCCAGTCCTTTGGTCTGGCTGAAATCTTTGGGAGTTTCATACCCTGCAATGTGTGAAGCCCATTTCTGGTGTCCCCCGTCGTGATATTACTCGAATATTGCTAAAAGCTTGATCAGAAAATAACTATTGATTACAGAGTGGGGAGGAGGAATGGTTAGATGCAAGAGAAAAGTATTTTATTTATTGCGGCTTTGTTGTGATATAGCTGAAGTGTTGGTAGAGCGGTGCACCAGTGGGTCAGTGACTCCAGCTATGTTGCTGTCACAGGTCTACAGCATCACGAGGAGAAGAAGGCAGAACTGCAGGAACTCATCAGGAAGAGGAGGCACGAGGCGTTCGTCAAGACAGGGTCCAGTGAAATCAAGATTGTAAGTTGTCCTCTATACCTTTGATACCAGTAAGATGAAATATAAACTGGATTTGGATGCCTGAAAATATGATTTGAAACTAATGGCAGAGATTTAGGGTCAGATTTCAATTTTGTAGTATAGCAGTGTTTGAAATACCTGCCAACAAGACAGTCCGAGATGGTCAGTTTTGAAAAGTTGCTTGCCCAATGGTCGCCTGCTAAGTTGACAATTAAACAGTACGATTCTTATGTTTACCCTTTCGTTACTTTTGTTCGTTAGTCTAGAAAATTCTGGACTGGCAACATTTGATCTTGTCTAGTAACATTGCAATGTTGCCAGTCTGGTTGCCTGGTGAATTTTTGGGGATTCTATACATTGAGTACAGAAGTACCTTATCAAAGAAACATGCTGCATGACTGAAAAAAACATTTACCTATCTCCTGCTGTTTCAGGTTACATAGTCAAATGCAAACTCTCTGGTGAAAAGGTCATAAGGTCATGATGTAGGTTGTGTATGAATACTTAGGTATAGTAGGCACCACAAGGAACTGTGTACATGTATATGGTTATTTCTATGGCAGCTACTTTATAAACACAACTTAGAGGCCAACCTGGAAGAAAAGGAAGATGACCTTGTAACTATCGTTCGGAATACCCCGTGTTAAAGTCAGAACGACCTTTCATCCGACCAATCAGAGCGTCGCTTACCACATTATGAAAGTGACAGTCGGAATGTCTAATCATGCAATTTCGAAAACTTTAACACGGGGTATTCCGAACGATAGTTACGGGTTTAACATGAATTCATACAATCTAGACCATCTATTAGCCATTCCAGAATGTTCTTTTGTTTAGGTTTCAAATTTGTAATCGAGAATTTGTCAAAATATGTTTTGAAGCGTAGTCACCAATTTGATATTAGTGCCGTAAAGCATGAGAAAGCTTCCTTCTGATTGGTCATTCCATTGGTCGGTCATAGTTCGCGCAAGGTCGGTCTCACGTGACCCGTAATGGGATGTCCTCAGATCTTTGTTTAGCGGTAGCGAGAACTAAGATCTGATTTTAATGAAATTGTGTACATGATAGGCACAATGCTTGTCTTAATATATAGATGAGACAATGTATTTTTGGGGGTCCGGGGATTTCAAGTCAGCAAGGTTCTACTGTAGTGTGATTTTACCATGGAATGATTTTCTCAAGGCTATTCAAGAAACACTGATTGTTTTGTCAACATGAACACATGTTAATTGTCTATCGATTCTTCCAGGCCAGTACACACTTCAAGGGCATCGGCAGCATTGCACCATATGATCCTAGAGTAAAAAAGAAAGTGAAGCCTTACGACCGCAAACCTAAGCTGAGCTTGTCCTCAACACCACAAGCCACACAGTCTAGGGCACTGCCAGGAAACAGGGCCATTGAGGCAATACAGAGTCAGGGCCTGCTGAAACATCCTAAGCAGCTTAAAAAAATATTTGAAAGCCCTGACTCTGAATTTGTATTAAAACCATACCAAAGAAAATCAGAAATGCTTGGTGACAATCAGAACCTTGTGAATGAGGCGAAGACTGATTCAGAATCGGGCTGGAATAGTGGACAAAATGGCCACCTGGTGACCCATGCTGGCCGAATGGAGGGTGAGAGAGCAGCAGCCCCACCCGCTCCTCCCCCCGAGCCAGGGGGGTCAAGCAAAGACAGTACAGTGACAAAAGAAGACAAGGATAGAGAAACAGTTCCTTCAGAGAAGAAGGAATTAGCAGAAAAATATTGGCAGATGGCTGGGTAGGTCTTTTAACTATTCCAATTTTCACAGATTGCAAAAGTCAATGCAAGGGCTTTAATTAACATAGCTATATGGGTTTGTGTTCAGAGTGAGTGGGGGCGGTCGGGTAGCCTAGTGGTTAAAGCGTTCGCTCGTCATGCTGAAGACCCGGGTTCGATTCCCAAAATGGGTACAATGTGTGAAGCCCATTTCTGCTGTCCCCCGCCGTGATATTGCTTGAATATTGCTAAAAGCTGCGTAAAACCGAACTCACTCACTCACTCACTCAGAGTGGGTGAGAGGTTTTTTGCCACTTTTAGCAATATTCAAGCAATATCACAGAGGGGGACACCAGAAATGGGCTTCACACATTGTACCCATTTTGGGTATCAAAACCGGGTCTTCGGCGTGACAAGGAAACGCTTTAACCACAAGGCTACCCGACTCAAATTTTTGCGATACCGTTAATTTTACCAAAGGCAAAAAACAAGAAAGTTACTACAAAATATTGCAAAATATTAGATTAGCCTTTACATTGTATTTTGGACTTTTTGTTCCTCTCAATTCCTGTACACTTGCATCTGTCTTGGGCTAAGAAACTTTAACTGTATTTCATATTTAGGGTATAACCTAGGAGCTACAAGGAATTATGGATTATCTGTCCCCAAGTAAATATGGTGCAAGTTCCTTGCCTTTCACGTGGGACTGATAATCTGCAATTCCAAGTTTCAAGTGGATTATAATATATTACTCAAAAGAAGTCAAGAACATGTTCATGACTATAGGGAATCTGTCATTGGTGATGAGTAATGCAACATGCAGTCTTCCAATTGTGGATGATGTTCTTCATCATATTTTGAGTAGTATATTACTCATTGACATTTTAAGAGCAAAAATGAAGAAAGAAAAAACGTATGAAATGTCAACTCTACTGAGAAACTTCACTGAATGCAGCCTATGGTTCAGATGGTGTAATGGCAGCAGTTTGGGACTCATGAAGAATTGATGACGTCATATCGTATTTTTCTCATAAATGAAGCACTCTGATGTCATATGGCTTCAATTGACCAACAGCTTTGAGAATCGGTAAAATGCACATATGCAAATTTCAGAAAGTTATTACATATAATCATGCTACCCTTATGGGTAATATAACTATTACAGAATTACTGTTTAATTGTTTTAACTGTTGTTTCCCAGATCGGGCTGGCGGAAGGACTGGGATGGGAAGTGGATCCGAGATGATGACTGTGAGTTTGACTCGGACGAGGAGCCACCTGACTTGCCATGATGAACTGATGCTGAAGATGCTGGCCATGAAGGAAGACTATGGAACATATTTAGGAATATCATGAGATTGGCAGAACTGTCAGTGAAAGGCATAATTCGTGACATTTGAAGCCTATTCTTGTTGTGAACTGCAATATTATTGCATTAAAAAGTGGTGACCCTGCTTTGTGTCAAGTGGTGGGTTTTGTCCAGCTTATATCATCCTTAATAAGTTGCAGACTATGATGCCAATATCAAACATTTTGCAAACTTTATGACTGTATCAAACATTGAAAACTGTTGCTGTACATGTGTGTTTATGCATTGTGGAGATTGTGCAACTACCAGCGAAGTATGTAAGTCTTTAAATTTTCAGACTGTGAGGCCAATATCAAACATTTTGCAAACTCTATGACTGTAGTAAACATTGAAAACTGTTGCTGTACATGTGTGTTTATGCATTGTGGAGATGTCAATCGCAACGACCAGCGAAGTATGAAAGTCTTGAAACTTTCCTGTTGATGGTAACAAACTTGGGGATGAAGAAACTTATCTTAGTCCAGCACATTTCTATTCTTTGCCATTGGTTGAGATTAATTCCAGACCCAGTGTTGACGAAGATGGGATCAGGTGGGGTCTGTGACTTGACTGATTGTGGTGTGGATCGGTACATTTAGTGACTGGTTTGCTGCATCAAGACTTGGTATATTTACCAGCTGCAGTGATATAGCTGGTATATTCCTGACTGCAGTGTTAAGCAACATACACTACGTCAAAGTAAAAACATTTCAGACCAGACTAAGAAACAACAAACAAAAATAGGAAGTGTAGAGAGATCTGTACTTCAAGTTGAACATTAACAGGCTTTAACAACAATATATCAATTATCACAGACACTCATTTGGCATATGATCTGCCATCGTTTCATGTAATATGACATGATATACATTTTAGGATCACAGCTTCATCATTATGTCTGTCAATACAGATGTGAAATTAACCTTAGACCTTAGTGACCTCAATTGTTATCTTACAATTAAATCTTCAAAAAGTTATGAAACAATAATTATCCCACAGTTCTCCACCACCACCTCCAAATACTTGTTATTTAGCCTAACTATTAGTGTGTCTCAGCAATTGTGTTGCTAGAAACATTCATAGGCATTTACTTATAGAACATAACCCAAACACTTTTGACAAGTTGTTGCTCTGCAACTCCTCTTGTGCCAAAACCTTTAAGTCTGCTTTCCTGAACATGACACTGAAAATCATTTTCAGTAGATGTTAGTGTTATTACGTGGAGTTCTATTATCTGAGCTTACCATACCAAACAGAATTTTACTAGACATTTTCTTCTGACTATTGGCTAAAGCTAATCACAATGACCCTCTTATTTTAGTAGTAATACTTGAACACTTGAGGATAGCTCTTATTGTTTGTCCCAATGTAGTTTTTCTCTTGGTCTTGACTAAAGCAAATAAACTCCATTGATCTGATTCAATTGGGCACAGTGACAGATTACTTGCTAAGCAGAAATATGGCATTCTGCTTTTAGCCCAAATATTAATGTGTCTCTGCAATATATGGTTAGAATCATGGAATAAGAACAGGGGTCTTACAGGACCCTTGGCAAGTTGTTGCTATGCAACCCACAATGATCCTGTATTATAGTCACATCTATCATGATGAATCAGTTCTGTGATGAATTGTGACACAAACTCATTTTTCACCCCAAAACTGCCATCATATAATTTTGTAAAATTGTTGTCATACATGTCATTAAACACAGTCCATTGCAGCATTTATCACAGGTGCCTTTCATTTGTAAATAAAAAAACTGAAAATGACTAGTATGTACATATTAAATGAACAATTCATTATACATGTGATATATCATTTCATAAATATTCAGAATTCAGAATTTCCATTCAAGTAAAACAGAAAAAATAATTAATACAGAAAGCATGTAACGCAATACATCTATAAATAAAGGCGTCAATCACAAGCTATCACTATGGAATATTCTAACACTCTCCATGGCAACAACTCTTGTCTTCATACATAATACCAAGTGAAGATACGCAGGTACTGGTAAGTGGCTCAGGTGACACATGCTCCACGAAACAGTGGTTGTATGAGTAAGTGTTAGCAGGCTTGGTCCAGTTATAAAAACCCTAGACTGTTGCATGACAACACAGCAAGGTTGCTCACACTCCATACACCAGTCAGGCAGACTCAGATAGCAACACGGCCCAGGGATTTGACAAATATCTCTTTGCCATGTACAGGAGCAGTGTTACAGAAAAAAACAGGGAAATGACTAATGTTTACTGGTATTTTGTCCCGTGGACAAGCGTATGTGTTAAACACTGGCATTGTTTGGGTGGCAATCACTTGAGAGGTTGTCAGTATAGGCAATATTGAACTCAGTACAGTGAGGATATCTGCTGTAGTGACCATTCCTTGAAAACATCAAGGTGTGAAGATTGTGATTGTTGAACATATTGGTAAGTGGAGAATGGGATTCTTGTCAGTTTTGTGACAACACAATTAGTATAGTCTTCTGGGAAACATCTGAGGTGAATCTGGTGACATGGGTTTGGGCAGAGCATATGGGTCAGCAGTGTTTGACCAGTCGGTTCTATTGGACTGACTGCTGTGGGGAAAGGTGGATGGTGAGTCCTGGTTGCCTCGGTCAAGGTACTCCAGGATGTCCATGGAATGAGCCTGCACAAGAGATGACACAGATGTACACAGACAAGAATACATTCAAAACTTGAGAATAAATGGTCATGTAAAGTGATTTCAAGGGACTATGCTCCCTGTACAAATAGATAGCAGGGAAATAAGCACCAGCTCGCTTGCCTGGACTGGGATATTAAAGTTTTAGTCCACTACTGCTTATAATGGTTACATAGTGCCCTAAAAAGGGCAAATTTCTACTCATCCTTATGATACCTTAACTATTGGGCAGTTTGGCAAGGACTATAGGACTAGTGCCTATTTCTAATGGTGCCAATTGAATTTCAAACATTTTCAGGTGTATTGCTGTATGTTATCACTATTCTGGGTAGACATCCCAGCGATAGATGGGAAGGCACAGATTCACCAATGAGGTTTCATGCTGTAGTTTGCATTTTACTGCTCTGCTATATCATTTTACACATTGTAATCTTGAGTGAGTGAATGTTGTTTTTAGCATCAGTACTCAGGCTTATCACAGTGGTATGTCAATAATCAAGTCTGGCTTTGACAAAACTGGTTGACAGAAAAAGCAACAGTCAATGATAGGTAGACAACCAACCGGCCGGGTTGCAACATTGTGACCATATCTTCAGATTCATCAGCTCATAGACAGGCATAGGGTACTGAGAACCTCACTGTGATAACCGAACACTGGAATGTCAGCCAATTCCATGTTGTACTCAGTCAGTAGATGTTTGTATCACCCCATACCTATGTGAAGGAGCTCTTCACTCTTGATTTATTGACAGAAGGTTCTGGAGTCTACATGAGTGCCCTCTGGCATGGCCAGTCTTACAAGAAATAGTAAACTGACATTCTCTGTCACACCAAACTAATCTAGTTTTTCATTTACTTATAAGTCCACAAAGACCAAGATTCAATTCCCACCATGGGTACAATGTGTAAGTCTATTTCTGGTGTCCAAATTGCTGAATTATTGCTTAAAACAGTTATAACCTACTGCAAATAACAGTGTAAAACCCTACTCAATCACTCTCACACAAACAAAAGCTCTGGAAGATTTTGGTCTTGGCAAGGATGGTTGAAGACAAGTTAAAGTGACAGGTTATTCCAATTTTTGTTTCATCATATCCATTTTAATATAAAATAATAGTCACTTTAATTTTAACTGACATGAGCGTAGCCAAAACATGGTCATTTCCTTACATCAGTTTCCATGATGTCTGCTTGAAGTCTTCGATCTGATCCTTGATCTATACTTGACAAGATGGTCTTCTCAAACCACAGAGAGTCCTTGTAGAAGTCGCCATGGAACTGAGGCATGTACTTGGGCTCCTCTCGATACTCAGCAACAACAGCCTTCAACAAGCAAGTGAAGGAAGCCATGACAATGTCGAGAGCAAAATCTTGTGTAGGTCTTTTACCAGGGCTCCAAATAATGTTTCTTATGGGTAATCAAATTAGGTCTAGTTTATTTGGTATATTTAAACCAATCAGTAGACATTTTGAGATAATAATTCTGCTTAATAAATGCTGTTTCAGGTGACTTCTAACTTGCATCTGTTCATGTGCTACAGTTAGTGTGTCACATGTCTCATTAGCAATATACCTGTCGAAGTTACAATGAGCGAGATGTGCATTATTCATTCGAGTTAATGTATATGCAGATCTGTACAAAAATATAGATATGCATTCTGGAAAGACCGCTTTGGATATTACACAGTGTTGTTTATAATATTGTTTTGTATTTTAATTTTAGGTGTATTTGTCCACAAGAAACTTATAATTAATTGGGTAATGGTGATTCCAATATTACACTGATACACAGCTTCTTGGTAGCTCTGGTATTCGTAAGAACAAAGTTTAATGGGTGTCAACATTATTGTAGATAAGCCCACAATATAGTAGATGACATTCATACAAACTGTTTTTTATTGTCTATGGTGTACTGGTAGGCAGATGATGGGCACATCAAACCATGTTCTGGATTTCAGATACAGCGTTTGATTGGAAGAAGTTTTCATACTAAGATTACTTTTACCTGCTAGCACAAGATTCAAGTAGAAGCTTAGAGGTTATAGCCTGGCATCTGAGATAAAGTGGTCCATATTGGACATTTATAAACTAACCCAGAAAACTAGGGCAAAATATTTTAATGGCTAAGGACAGCCTTAGAAATTGGCACCAGTCCTGTAGTCCTTGCCACCTGTCAAATAGTTAAGGTATCAAAAGGACTAGTAAAGATTTGCCATTTTTAAGGGTTTTGCTATATGTTATCATTATAAGGACTAGTGGACTAAAACTGTTAGTTTCTATCGCTGCTGAGGAGCACACATTTCCCATACAGGGAGTGTGATGACTTGGTATGCTAAAGGTAAGGAGTTTATAAATCTGGGACTCCTCTGGACGTGTTCAGAGGCCAATAATCAGGCCCAAATCGGGAGCAGATGTCTGTAATAATTCCGAAATAGGAATTAAATATCTCTCAATTTGTTTAATTTTAGTTATTACAAATATTATGGCTTTGGCAAGACATTGAACAAAATAACAATTTCTTTTCCCAATCTGCCTGCCACTTAGTTAGGAATCCGAGAAAAATCCCTGAACTAATATTCATTGTCTTACATTGATGAGTCATAGGTTAAATTACTATAGACACAAAGTGCAAGTTAAAGAAAGAAGCCCTCGAAATCTTCAAAATCCACATGCTTCATGGTTAGGCAAAACATTTCTTGGTTATCATTCATTAGCATAATATCCATAACAGGTTATATGGCAGCAATGCATTAATTTGTCAAAACTTTTATTTGTTATAAATGCAATAAGGGGATCCAGGAATAAGGGGTTTTGGGGAGGGGTCACATTTTGATTTTGTAACTTCATACACAACTATTCCAATAGAAAGAGATGTAGGGGTCGAACCCAACAGCCCATTGCTGGGTCTGCCACTGAATACCTTATATAGGCTTACCATATGCATTTCACCATGGCTACATCTATTCTCCAGAACTGAAGAATCTATAGTGTCTAGTGGGCTGTGTCTTGGAACCTCTGTGTGGGAGGGCTCCAGTCCTTTCAGCAACTGCTCAAAAATTGGATGTCTTCGTGACGGCATAATCTTCTCACTGGAGTGGCTATGGAAACCTGATGACTGAGAATTTGAATTCTGACTCAATGCATCTCTGTCGGGCAACACATCAGCCATCACTACGTCATATTTGTCTTTGTTTGAGAGACTTGAGAAGCTGTCCTGGTTTCTAGATTCCATAAAAGTATCATTTTGTGCTAGAAGATTTAAAGCAGTCAACGGTTGCTGTTTGATCTGGTTCGGGTTGGGTATGGTACAGCTGATTTCCCGCTTCAAGCACATGCTGTCATTATGTTTGAGAAGGTCTATTGCATTCATGGATGCGGAGTCTGAAGCACACATCCCAGAATGAGATCTCAGATTTGTATTCTGAGCTAGGCGGGCCAGATCTCGGACCGATGTAGGTGGCTGGTTGACTTGATGAGAACCACCTAGTATGTCCTGTAGAGAGCTGTGTCCTGCTTGATGGCGATGTCGTGCTATGGTTGCTTGACTTTGGACAGACCCATCCACTTTCTCATACACAAGAGAAGATGTTTCTCTGTTTTGGTTGGCCCAAGTTGGGCCTTTAGAATCTCTTTCCTTTTCCACTGAGTGAGGTGTGAAAGGATTCTCTGAAATGTAAACAGAATATCAATATGTGAGTTGTTTTTTTTCAAAAATGTTTAAGGCTGAGTAATTGTTTAAGATTTCACCTTCAGATACTTTTTCCCCTGAATAAAAAATTAGAGAAGACAGTAGACTTGTTTTAAAGGTTGACTTCTTTTTCAGACAACTGAAGCACTGAAAGTTTGTCATACATCAGGGCTCCAGATCATTTTCTGAGCTAAGGGGAATTTACTCCCATGTTGTCATTCACGTAGGTATTGATAGGTTTCTCTGGGTATTCATTATGCTTTAACTCCCTTAGGTCGTCGATTGGGTGTCTATGACGACTAAAAATAATTTTAAAATGAATTTTGCTTAAACTACTGTTTCAGTTGACAATTTGTGCATTATTCACTGCAGCAGGATTTATGTAGATGTCATGCCTGTATTCGATTGGCAAATACCAGTAAAGATCTGTAAAGAAATAGAAGTATGCAAACTGACAGCGACTGATGGTACTCAGTACTACACAGTGTTGTCACTCAATAAGGTTTCCGACATATTTCTTGGATATTGTAAGCAAGCAACTCAAAAGTAATTGGGAAATTTTCCACAAAAATGCATTTTATCTGGAGCTCTGATACATATTGGACCAATTCCGTGGTCTAGTGGTAGATCGTCCGCCCAGAGAACGGAAGGTCCAGGGTTCGATCCACGGCCGCGTCATACCAAGACGTTAAAAGATGGTACTTGTTGTTACCCTGTCTGGCGCTCAGCATTAAGGGGTTAAAACAAGGACTGGTCGGCTCGGAGTCAGTATACTGTGTCTAAGTGGGGTATTCATGTTAAACTACGGCATGGTATTTCAGTGTGCTAGCACTATAAATCGGCATCTGTCGGGACTAGTACAAGCAGCCACACACACACACACGTGCACGCACGTCACTATATAAGTGAAATAATCTTGGACGCGACGTTAAACCCAATTTCACCTCACCTGATACATATTGTAATTCATTCTTATTTTACAGAAAAATGATAGAATTATGATTTGTTTGTTTATTTATTTGTTGTTTAACGCCGAACTCAGCAATCTTCCAGCTGCATGACACGGTCTGTAAATAATTGACTCTGGACCAGACAGTCCAGTGATTGATATGAACATCGATCCACACAATTGGAATATGATGACATGCATCAATCAGGTCAGTGAGCCTGACCAGTGACCACCCAATTCCGTTAGTCACCTCTTAGACAAGCATTATCGCCTTTTAACGGAAAGCATTAGTTGCTGAAGACCTATTCTAACCCAAATCTTGAAGGGTTGATAGAAGTTTGAGTCCCCACCTATATACTGAGGGGTGAAACTGTCTGCTAGTGATCTGCAAACACTGCCTCCACTTGACAATACACACATCCGCAGTCGGGTGGAGCAAGGCGTCACAGTCCGCAGGGCACTGAAAGTGTTCGGAGTCATGAGAAAAGGCGATAGTTGTGTTAAGATACAAATAAAAAAATAGTGACTTACAAAGCAATGTCATATCAATGGAGGTAAATATATACAGGTACATTGACAGAACTGTCAGAATAGTCTGGTTCTTGGTTACATAAATCATAATCAGCACCTCAGATAAACATACATGAAGATTAATATGATTCTGAAGTACATGCAGAAACATGAACATCAACATTCAAAATTGTAATAATGACACCAACTTGTGCTTCATCTGTTTGTTGAGATCATCACATATTTCCCTGACTGTGTCTGAAATGGAACATTTTTAGAATTTTAACAGTGGTAATTTAATGGACTGCAAGGTTAACAAAAGCCTCTTAAACTAGCATTTCACATTAATGTTATTGGATTTTTAAAAAATGGACTTAAACCCAGCTCATCTTTTATTGACAATGAGGAAGACAGAAATGTTGAGTAAAACATCCAATTCCTGAGATTAACTTATTGATGAGTCATTGGTTAGTATATCATCAGCTGCATGGGGTGGGTATTTTCACTGGGTAATGTGCAACTTACTAATTCCTCGGAATATCTTATGGTCTTGCAGCTTTTGTGATAATTCTTGGACTATGTCATGTATTGGCAGAATCTATTAACAAACAAAACATTGATTGTAGCCGTGGTTGCAATATAATTTAAATCAAAGACATTTTTCAGATTTCTAACATAAACATCCTTGGGTTAGAGCTGTCACAATATGATACTGATGTGTGATATCTGTATTGCCTACAAGAAGCAAACACATTCAGAGTTTTCAAGTTCAGCAAAGGTCACTTTTTTTTCACTGATAACAGGACCAATGAAGAAAGAAAGACTGTAAAAATACAAAAGACCTGAACTAAAGAAAAAAAGGACTGTATAATTAATAGCATAAACACAAATGTCTTACTCTTCAGTATCACAAAATAGCAACAGGAAATCATTGAATCAGATAAACAGCTGAGGAATGTCGTGAATTAAATATCTCAGATAGAAGGTTTTGCTTAATTTTACCAAACTAACAATTTTACTGACCTTGGAAAAATTGTCTAGCTCCATTGAGTTGGGACATGTGGAGATCCCAGTGGATATGGAGCTATAGAAACAAAATATCAAAACTTCATCTCACTACGATAGTGACAAATAAAACATGTGCCTGATTAGCTTCCTGAATCCAGGATCATCCAGGATCATCCAGTGCTGAGTACTATACTGGTAAATCATCACAATGAACTGAACTCTTATCCAAAAAGCAGAAGTGAGTAAATGAAAGTTATATTATAGTAAAACTCTCACACGTGTGAGACAGATATGAGGTCCCTTTGGAATACAATGATGTCACGCTGGAAAGCTATGAAGCAAGGCTACAATGACATCATAATCTTCTGTGATAACTGAATCAGCCTGGTTAGCAGAATGTGAAAAAATATCCACCTAACTAGTTCGGCAAGGATGGAAACCGGACTTTTTAGAGTCAGTTAACTCCCTTGCCTCAGGAAGATGTGTATATCCCAATACATATCCTGACATCTGTGTACACCATTATGACATCAGTGTACAACAGCCCAGACAGTCTCAATGCTGACTTCAACCTCAAACACGATAATTACATGTCCACCCAACTTGTTCCAGATTGTTGATTATAAACTTGATACATCTTGGATTGTCAGGAACACTTTGAATTAACAATTACATCTTTGTGTATGCTTTTAATGTCAACTTTTTGCCTGAGTGAGAGGTATATTTCTTACTACCTGATGGTATGAGACTTCCCCTGTAACAGTGTGGAGACTGGTGTCATCTTCTTACTAGCCACAGGCCGGTATAAAACTGCTGCTGAATGGCCAGAGGGCATTACTGGACTGCTGAAGTCACAGGGTGAATCATATAGTATACTATACAATTGTTGAAGACATGAACCTAACTTTATGGATAACAACTTCTATATTCCTTGTTAAGACATTTCATGGCTACTTCTTGCCCCTGACATTGTTAAGAACAAATATCCAGATACTAGGGCTGGGACGAGTAACTCGGGTACCTGGGTCGGGTGGGTACTGAGTAGGACCCGGGTAGCCACAGGACTACCCGGACCCGTGGTTAGTCACGTGATTATATTGTTAAATGGCAAAAATTATCCAGAACTCTGTGGTTACACTATTAGGGATAAATGCTCACATTTCTTTCTGACTTTGCACACATTCCTTCTGACTTTATATGTTTGCATGATGATAAAACACCAGTCAACTTCAGTGTATGCATGACCAGATCGGTTTATACGTGTATCTCAATGTATTTTGACAGGAGTATGGTCAAACGATTCCAAATCGGACATGTTTTTCCTATCTCTTGAGACCTACAGCGGGTACCCGGGTAGGGTCGGGTAATAGGGAGGTGGGTACCTGGGTAGCAAATTTGGACTCGTCCCAGCCCTACCAGATACATATGCTTAAATGTGCTGATGAGACACAGATTGAAATATTTGTTTAAAAAAATCAAAATAAATAACTGTAATGATTTTGAACATTTCAAATGAAATATAAAAACGTTTATATAAATTGCAGACTCCCATGAGAGAATTTGAATTCTGCTTCACAACCGAACTGAAGTTTTTACCAAGCACAACACAGAGTTTTTCGGATTCCTTTCAACATCTTCTAACAATTTCTTATCAAAAATATAAAAGGCAGGGGCATCGTTGACCCTTACCGTTTACTGACTGTCAGCACATCAACCTCAATGGGAACATCAGAGCTATCATCATGAGGAATGTTTAATATCTTCTTCAAGTCGTCCTCGGTTTCCTTCTTTGTAGATTCTGTCAGCACAATCGGTTCTGTAACATTGATTTCAGGTTGAAAAATGTGGTGTCATGTTGCAAAAATATGTAATACATATTACATCAAGGTCAAGTTTTGTATAATTCTGATTTGTGATCATTTGAAGTATTCACCAGCATTAGGTAATACATGTTATTATATTTTGACAGATATTTTTAAAATACTAAATTAAGAGATTTCCTAGAAGTATGAGATATATTTCAGGATGAAATTTCTATCTTGTAAACAATATTCTTGCAAATTTCTTTTCAAAGCTCTTGCCTTCAAATCTGTATTTAGAATACCATGTACACCATAAAGTGATTTGTGAGACGTCAGACTCAAGGAATCGAAAAACCAGAAAGACACTTACTTCGCGATATTGTCTCTGACTTCTTGCTCTTGTTAAAGAGTCCAAGTCTCTTCTGAAACATAAACCAAACATTTTTGCCATAGATTTTACTTTTCTAAATCAAAGAGTGAGTGAACGTTGTTTTACATTGCTGTCAACAATATTCATGTATATATATCACACATGTGAATCTCGTTGTACACTGCATTTAGCAATACATGTATTCCAGCAACAGTGTTAGACAAATTGTAACGCCATCTCCTCGTCTTTATGTGAATTCGCTTTAACTATTTGGCTACTACAGTGTAGTACACTATCTGGATCATACAAAACTGAAGCCATGAAATATACAGGGAACTTGACCAAAGTACAATGTGTGAAGCCCATTTCTGGTGTCCCCCGCCGTGATATTGCTGGAATATTGCTAAAGACGGCGTAAAACCATACTCACTCACTTGCCCAAAGGTTACAAAGGCTGAAAGACCACTAAGAGAAAGGCATGAATCCCCTTAGATTCTTCTATGCTCCATGACATTAAGTTAAACTTGGTTGAACTGTTGAATTCATATATATTGTTCATCTGCTGCTGCAGTTCAGAACTCCAGTGTTAAGGAATATTCCTTGTTGACTATACCCTGATATGTTACATTTGGTCACGGTATAAAATAAATATTTTCAACTCTCTCTTATTCTTCTTTATGTTATCCTACACCAGCTGGTGTTTCTGAAGGGGTCAGCTTATTACCCCTTTAAGAACTGATGCAAAACTTTATTTTGATAACAATGTAGACGAAAGTGGGCACCCCTGAGATAATAGTCCATACTAAGCAACAATTGAACACAAGAATTCCCAGCCAGTCACCCAGTGACAGCTATAGATAGTAATGTTACTTATACAGTCTGGATATGATGCCATCAGTTAATTATCATTCAAATCTGACATAAAATAAACAAACAATTCAAGGGATTAAGTTTGTTCCTTTGTGGAATACTTGGCTAGTGAATATTTGGTGAGCCAGTTGTTATCAATGTTCAATATGTAGACTTATGTTGGCTTGTCTTACTGGCATCAGACTTACTGTTAATCTGCCTTGTGTTATAACATTGAAACTGTCATCTCTCTGGCTTAGGCCTTTGGATCGCAATGGCTGGGGACAAAGGGGAAGTACAGAGATAGGATACAAATATAAAACAAACACCAAGATATTACTGGATGTAAGAACAGTTTCACGTACCGTATTCGACATAATAAGCGCCCAGGGCGCTCTCAAAATTTGAAATCGGGGGCTCTTATTAGAATATTATTTTGGTGAAAAAAACAGAGTTGAAAGATAAATTTCGTGGTTTTTACAGACTGAAGTATTTATGTACGACAGATATAATATATATAATCCAGAATTTATTAGCCCATAACTAAGGGTGCATATAACACACAAGTGCGTATTATACGCGAATGAATAAGTCTTGATCAATCAGAAGGGATGCTAATTGGGATTGTTCACCAGCCAAAATATTAGCAAATGTCGCCGTGGGCGCTTATTACGTCGAATACTGTATTTACTATTCCCTAAGATAGGTATGTAAGCAGGGACTGTTACCTATCATAATGGTAACCAGATATAACAAACTCCTCACTTACAAAGAAATCATTTATGATTGAAAATCATCAAATATCTATAACTGAGTTGAGGTGGCAATAAATATGTAATATTATATAACAGTGAAATGAATATAAACAGTATTTAATACCACCTACATAAGATATGCTGTGAGCAGTCTTTAAGTGCTTGTTTACATCAGCTTTACTGTCTGAGTCATTCTGAAAATGAAATAGAATTACAGTGCAAACTGAATTCAACTTTTTTCATGTTAACAAAATATAAGCAGCCATGATTTTCAAAACATGAGGTCTCACAACGCATAAATAACAATACCAGTCAAAACAATAACACTCAGTTTGTCTGATGCCACTTTCCAATCTCACATCTGCTGGTTGTAAACCTGTTGAATCCTGCGGTAAACAAGTAATTACCGAAAGTTTGAGAAGCATGACAAATTTTCAGTTTCAAACATTAATATTAATCTGTGAATTCTATCAATAATTCACATTACACTAGAAACGACGTCTTAGGTGAAGATTGTTGATCAATTATGGTTTTCAGAAACGGCAGTCGTGATCAGTGTATTTTACTAAAAGGGGAGCTCAAAAGAATTAAGAAATAATGGGAAATAAAGACATTATTATACTTGCATAAAAATCTGTAAGAAATCCTGTATTACCCTTGCTCTCGCTTGGGAAATACAAAAATTCTGACACTTGTTTTGCAAAATCAGTATGAAACACATGCTCATTTAATAATCTTGCTGTGTCATTGTATATTTATTCTAAATGATATACCAATAGTAATACTCTACACTATGGTGTAACTGTGAGAAATAAAACTCATGGAACTGTCGAAGATACCTTGCTAGAAACTGATTTAGATCTTGTTTTGTTTCTTTCAGCCTTCGTTTTTCTCCTTCGTTTACGTTGAAGTATTTCATCCTGACTACCCATACTGGAGTCACTAGCATCTGATGAGTAGCACAATGTGACAGACTCTGGTGGGTGTGTCACAACTGTGACACCTGCCGTGCTCGCTTCACTTCTATTTACTGCATCGGGTGCTGCTTGGAAATGTTTACGAAAATCTAAAATGAAAGAAGAAAGATGTATACATGTTTTCCTAGTTGTTCATTGTCTGTGACAACTTTTCAATGACAATAGATTGTCATCTGAACATAGCCACTATTAACTCAGTTAACCAGGATGAAACAGAATTTAATAACAGACTCAAACATTGGAGGCCACATTGAGAAATCATTTTTTTTAAAAGAAATATTTTATGAGGATGGATATTGTACAAAGCTAGTGATATTATTAATGTTCTTTTCAAAAGTAATTTTGACAAAGATGTAAAATGAATATAAGAACATGCTTAATGCAGAGTTCGATTTTTAAATAAACCCAGGAAATAAGAAATTGAATCACATGGTATTAACTTCAATGAAAATGAAGGAGGAAAACTTTCTAAAATACACTGTCCATTATCTAGCTCATGGTGAAATGATATCACCTAGGAATGTTTGATGACGGATCATAAAGTTAGAGGTGAGGTGAGGTGAAATGGGATTTAGATTATTGCACTTATATAGCGACGTGCATGCACGTGTATGTGTGTGTGTGGCTGCTTGTACTAGTCCTGACTGATGCCGATTTATAGTGCTAGCACACTGAGATACCATGAGGCAGTTTAACATGAATACCCCACTCAGACACAGTATACTGACTCCAAGCCGACCAGTCCTTGTTTTAGCCCCTTAATGCCGAGCGCCAGACAGGGTAACAACAACATCTTTTGGTATGACGCGGCTGGGGATCGAACCCCATACCTTCCGCCATAAAGTTAGAGTGTAACAATATATATCATTATTCCTACTGTGTGCCCTATGGTAGCATTTGTTAGGAATTTTAAAATGCCAATAGGGTCATCGATAGTATGCATAACAATTGATAGTTTCAATAGTTGCAATAGGTATATTAATAAAACATATTTTATGCAAATTTCAAACCTGCCTTTGTGGTTGGTTAGCAAAGAACACAATCCCTTCAGATCAGTTAGGTTCCTTTGGTCTGAGTAGCAGCAGGAAGTAAAATGGGATTGTCAGAAATACTTTATTCATTCTTACTACATTGATTAATATAATTATCAAGCCTTAAAGTTGGGTTGCTACTATTGCAGTTTCTATTAAAATAGTTTGACAACTATCTCAATACTATTGCAAAAGTGTGGGGTATTGCAATAGTGAAAAAGGCTCCAAAGTCCCTGGGTATTTGTAAATTCACGTGCATCTGATCTTTTGTGTCCAAAAGTATGAAAACTAGGCGATATATTGCCATCAAGGCAAACATCAAAGATCTCATGTGTTTTTTGTGCGTGTTTCTTGTGTGTTTTTTCAGTTTGCTATTTTTGTTGGTAAATGGACCTAAATCATCTTACCAAATAAATAAAATTATATTAAAATATACCACACTAACTTACCAGGGGTCATAATGAAAAGTGCTGAATGGATTTGTCACCAAACATGAGATAATTGAGATTACTGACTTATCAGAGTTCCCCATAAGTGTACATCAGATAAGATACAGCACCTGTTTGTGTGATATATAAGTTCTGATGACTGCAACATGAAACTAAACTTTCTCTCTATCACTTGATTCAATGAGCAGCCTATTGTTTCAATGTTGAAACTTGAATGCAATATACAATATTTATTCATAATTGTTTTTACCTGCAAGAATTGATTCTCTTTGTCTTCTTATTTCGTCTTCTTTTGTTGAGATCAGATTCACGTATGATGCATGTTTCTTGTGCACTTTTCCCATTGACCCATAGCCTACTTTTTGATAAATGAAATGAAAAGAAAATTTTTTACTTGAAACATATCAAATACATCCCTGCCAAAGAAAACCAGTAGAGAGCTACATGTACCAGAATATGTACACACCTCTTTAATTAAGAATGGAACGTCAGTTTGGATGGGTTCATTGAAGTGTGAACGATTTAAAAGCGCTGGTTAAACTGTGTGAACCTCCGAGCTTGCTACTTATAATTTCATACTTTGTAGTTGACTGGTCTCGCCGAATAATATTATAACAATGTTTGCTTAAATTTGAAGTCCTCTGGTTTCGCCGAAGAACATTACAACAATGTTATTTTATCGGTATTTGCCGGCTCATAGAAATAGCCACACAAAGACACAATCACCATAAAGGTTGTATCATAATAAGAACCCGGCACATTTTCAATGAGACCAAACACAGTAAATCACGCAGACTACGTAGATCTACATATTCCATAGTTTGGTAGCTGTCTGGTGGTGGTTTTTTTGCAGACCTGAAATAAATGACGCATAGCCGTGGTGATTTCATAAGTAAGTCCTACATTTTAGACTTAGGCCTAATATGCCACGCAGACATTGAGTGAAGACACGGCCGAAGCCAGTAAATCGGAAAGTGAAATTCTCTCTCAGACGATCTAAATTTGACTGTTTATATTTGTATTTTGTGTATTTTTATCCGCCAGGAAGACTTACGATAAAACGGAATTAAAGATAAACATACCAACCAACTTGAGCAACGCCAAGGAGATTTTTTTTCAGTATTTCTTTGCTTGAGATGTTTAATGATTCAAATATCGCGCGCCTGCCAAGTCGCCATTTGTAAAACTAAGAAATGGGTCAAGCCGCCGTTGGTATTTTTTCTTCACTGTGTAAACTGTAATGATATAAAAAATAACGGTCTAAATTGGTGTTTGGATGTTTCTGTGTAATGAAGTATTCTATAAGGTCTAATCTACTGTTCACCTACATACCATGTGCGGCTTACTAACGGTGACCAACTGTTGTTATAGCAACGCACGCGGAAATTGGAGCCAGGTGTGAATGGAACTTCAGTAAAGCGGTTCATTTCACGTTCACACCATGGCGCTAACAGTAATATCCGCGAAATACCCCCCACAAATTGATGTTACACGGACACCATTTGCGTATGGAGATCGAGCATTACCGAGACTGGTACAGTTTGTATAAATTTAGCAAACTTTCACGATCGTGTATTTCGTTTGTTTTCTCAATCGGTTGTTGTTTATCAAGTGTTTATAATTTTGTATCAACATAACAAACATTTCGGTTTCACGCGATATATATTTTTGTGTCTCACTTATATATATATATATCACTATTTATTATTATATTCACATTGGTGCAGTGATTTATCGCTGAGATTTATTATAATAACTATGTGTACAATTACTTTTTGAAAGAATTAAATTGATACATAAAATATTAGCCTGCAGTATCAGTACTTTAATTTAATGTAAAGGTACATCTTATATATTGGGTACTGTCATGTTGTTTTGTTTGCTCGCATCAAGATTTCAATATATATTTAGATGTGTTTGCATGTTAACTCTATGACAATTTGGTTGACAGTCCGAGCTGAACAAATTAATTTGAATAGTTTCTCATTATTTTTGTCATTTCAATCTTCAGAATCGTGAACTGAATGATGGCACATTGCTTGTTCGTCAGAGAGCAGTCATGTCACTTTGTGATTATCTGCATGACCCAGAGCACATAGCTGAGGCACTTAGATGTGGTGAGATTTTGTTTTTTTATGTATTTTTTACAGCATCTATAGGGACGTAACATTCACTGAAAGTATAGCATACTGTATGTCATACTCTACACTGTAACACATGTATGGTCATGTACCGATACAAATATGATACAAGTCGATATTGAAGAGGGTGTCTAACAAGGCATGAAAATTAACTGTAAACAAAAGAGATCTCAGTCTACTGTTATCACATTGAGTATAATTGACTCAGATTTATGTTTGTTTTCGTTTTATTCACTGCCTTTGATTGAAAATTTGTGCCTTGCATGACAAATGCAGTGGTCCATATAACATTCATATAAGTATATGTATGGCGTAATTAAATATACATCCATAGTAATACGGCCAAAAATAGGTCAATTGATACATTATTACAATGTCTGAAGCTTTCATTCTTGTGACATATAGGTCTTCATCATGATGCAAATGAGTTGAAGTGAATAATCTTACTATGGCACAGGGTTCAGTGGTTGCTAGGCATTAGTTCAGCAGCAAACAGATTCTCTTTCATTTGATTGGCTAACACTCATCTGGAGTAAAATAGGTCTTCAGCAACCCATGCTTGCCGTAAGAGGCAACTAAAGGGATTGGGTGGTCAAGCTCGGCTTGCTGACTTGGTTGATGCATGTCATAGATCCCATTTGCGCCTATCGATGCTCATTATGTCAATCACTGGATTGTCTGGTCCAGAATCGATTATTTACAGGCCACTTTCATATAGCTGGAATATTGCTGAGTGCATCGTTAAACAACAAACCAACAAAAATCATGTCTCGTTAATTCTTCAGGTTGACCAACAATGCATTAGCATAATGAAACTTATCCAGAGAATTGCAAATGTCACGTTTGTAGTATTGTATCATGTATCATGCGACAAAGTTTATCATAACTGACCTCGCAGTAACATGAGTATGTCAAGTTTATTTAATCACTACCTGCCTGATGTTATTTGGCCAGTGGGACAAATGTTTTCACACATTAGAGACAGAAAGTTCTTAACTCTTAAGATATTTTGAACATAAAATGCTTTAATGTAACTGTAATAAGCTCTTTCAAATGATACTTCTCAGATCATAGCCTTATGATTAAAGATCAACAGTCTGAAGATTTTTACACACTCATGCATGGATCTCATGTTTTTTATTGATCGCGTAACATGCTTTGCTTCTTTCACATGCTGCAAGAGAGAATTCAGACTTGTAAAACCAACTTTACATCTTATCTGCATCTCTTTATATAGTGCTCAATGTGGATTGCATGGCCCGATTCCCCCAAATGTCCACTCACATTATGAGCCATCATATTTTCAATGACATTTTGTAGACCCTGACCTCAGAGTGGGCATACAGAATAAGGTACCTTGCACGTCAGGTTATTCTGTAAATGCAGGTCGGGTAGGCAATTCTCTCTACCATGTCTACCACAGTGCCCATCTCCATGTAAAGTCAGATGTTTGGTTCTCGGAAATTCACTTTTTTGGTTGTCTCAAACCCTGGAAAACGCAAACTTTTCCCTAGGTCCCCATGAGTTCGACACTTTGAGGGTTTGACTGTAGTCCTTGATTATCTGTTGCATCAAGAACAACGGCTGATGTGTTTTGTCTCCATTTCAGGTATTGCTCAGAGTTTAAAAGAACTTTTAGTGGATGCTGACATCACAGTAAGGCAGAAGTCCACAGAGTGTCTCCATGTCATCGCAGGTACAGACCCACATCCACCTTCCCAGGCAAGGGAGATAACTGATCATGACTACAAAAGTCCAGTTTCCTCCCTTGCCGAACTTGGTTAGAATTTTGTAGCTTGATTGTAGCGCCACCAGTGGCTATTATGACTAATGTCCCCTCTATGTCCCTCCTATTGACCAATCAGATTCCACTTACCATACTACATGCATTTGCTTCAAGCAAAATGGCGACGCCCAGTCAAGACGATCTGATCGATAATCAAGATCTATATTGTTAAAAAACAGGAAATTACTTGAGAACCTTGATTTAAAATATGAAAAGTTTTGGAAAATGTCTGTCGACGTCCAGTTGAAGGTGCTCATGCTTTGCAAATCTTGCAATTGACTAAAATCTGCACGGCAGTTTATGGACAGATTGTCTATTTCATTACGTGATTTTGAATGGATTATGCATAGACTCAATAGTCCTGCCAAAACGTAACTCCAAACTTCCAGCCTAGTTTGGCAAGGGTGGAAGCTGGACTTTTAAAGTCCCTTGCCTTGGGAAGATGGCCCCCGTCCACCGTATACCATCTAGGCATTTTGTCTCTTTTAGAGCATTGGATTGGATTTGTTCCCGTGCTGATTCCTGGGAAATAATATAGGTCCCCCCAGCAACGTATGCTTGTCATAAGAGACAACTAACGAGATCGGGTGGTCAGACAAGTGACTTGGTTGATGCATGTCTCGTATTCCAATTGCATGGATCGATGCTCATATCGATCATTGGATTGTCTGGGCTGCATTCGATTATTTACAGACTGCCGTCATATTGCAGGAATATTTGAACAACAAACTATCAATCAACAATCTTAGGTGATTCAAGAAATGATAATATTGATAAGAGTTTCATGAAGATTATGTTGTGTATTATACATTGATGATCTCATTTCTTGACGTTCATGAGATTACGTTTTACTTCAGGCCATGCTATCGGGAGGAATGCTTTCCTTGAACATGGGATCATCATGCCGATATCCAAACTGTTTGATGACAAAGAGGATATCGCCAGGAAGAATGCTCATAAAGCTATTGAAATGATATCGGAAACACCTCCAGGTACGTACTGCCTAATTTAGGGGTTTATGTGTTTCATCCTGTTCACTTACTTCATCCTGTTTACTAAGTTTTAGTTTGTCCTGTTTACCTAGTTTTAGTTCATCCTGTTTACTTACTTCATCCTGTTTACTAAGTTTTAGTTTGTCCTGTTTACCTAGTTTTAGTTCATCCTGTTTACTTACTTCATCCTGTTTACTTAGTTTTAGTTCATCCTGTTTACTTACTTCATCCTGTTTACTTATTTTTAGTTCATCCTGTTTACTTACTTCATCCTGTTTACTTACTTCGTCCTGTTTACTTAGCTTTAGTTCTTCCTGTTTACTTCCTTCATCCTGTTGGCTTACTTTACAATATACGTAAGTGTGAAAGACTGAGAAGTTGAGAAAAGTGATATTTTCATTGCAGTGACCATTACACTTGATATTTCACTGCAGTGAACATAACACTTGATATTTCACTGCTGTAAACATAACACTTTGACGAAACTATTGTCATACAAGAGTGACCTACCCTCAAATTGTCTCCCTTTATCGCAAGTGTCTGACCCGTTCACAAACTGTTAACTTCCTTTTTATGCTAGTTCCACATTGACAAGGCAAAATAATGACAGATGGTCATTTATGGAGTAATTATCGCTTCATGGCATTTGTTTTTCTCTTGAAAGTATTCCGTTATAAACTGTAAATTTCCCACTTAACTCATCAATCGACACCGTTCGTTTCGCAAAGCGCCATTTTTGTTACTTGACCAGCCTGTGTTCTTTCGCTTCACACAGTTGATTTTTTATATAATCATATCTATTTGTATGATACAGATTTTTCGCGACCCTAAATATTTTTTGTTACTTTTGTTTATGTTTTTTATGATTTTGCAAACACGAAAATACTTTTTGTAATGAAATAATTTAATTTTCCACTAGACAACAGCACAAAAAGTATATAATAAATAGGATATTCCATGTGTCCTGAAAAATCATGTTTCTCTCATCTCGTGACGGGGAAAAGGAGATATTGTCGCTCGTGTAAATATCTCCTTTATTCCCGTCACTCGATGTGAGAAACATGCTATGTCACTCGACACATGAAATATCTTCTATATATCATGTTTACTTCTTTGTTTCATTTCTCCTGTTTACCTGTGACAGGTGCGGAGGGCATTGTGATGGGAGATTTGGTTCCTATGTTGGTGAAGAAGCTGCAGTCAGAAGTGGAGGAAATCAAGGTAATTGAGTGCAGCTATAAATCAGCACCCAAAGTTGAATATTTCCAAAAAATAATGATGTTTCATGTGATTGATATGATTGGTTAAACAGTAAACTTCAAACATATTTTGAAGGAGATGATTTTGGACACTCTGCACTACTGTATGCGTGTAGATACGAAGAAAGCTCTGGCGGCTGGCGCCATGGAAACATTTACCCAACTTCTCGCTCACGACTCGGAGGTGATCCGCGCCAAGGCTGCACGTGACATCATGGACCTCAGGTGAGTGCGACACATCGTGTCTGTCTTGGAATGTGTGATTTTATACCCTCCGGAGTTGAAACATCACATGATATACAGTAAACTACGGTTATAACGAACTCAAAGTGACCACTTATTTATGTTTGTTATAACCATAGTTCGTTATAAGCATATATACAGCGTATATACAGTATATGGCCGAGACCACACAACAAGGTCGTTATATCTGTCCGTTTGTTATAAGCGTGTTCGTAATGAACATAGTTGCTTTACTTAGAGGCGGTGGGGTAGCGTAGTGGTTAAAGCATTCACTCGTCATGCTGAAGATCAGGGTTCGATTCCCACATGGGTACATTTCTAGTGTCCCCGCCATGATATTGATGGAATATTGCTAAAAGTGGCGTAAAACTAAACTCACTCACTCACTTCTGGACTCAGAAAGCGTGATTTCCTGATGGCAGCATTAACAAATTCAAGGATAAGCAAATCATTTGTATGTAAAGTAGTGTCCCTTTGTACAGAGATTTTCCCCAAAACTAAGGGACGTGTCATCTATAAGAGGTGGGTCCCAGAGAGGGAATTGGGAGGGTCACCAAAAAATATGACCATCTCTGGGGTAGGGTCATAAAAAAATGATAAATTTGGGGTGACTCATGAAAATGGACATTTTATGATATAATTTACAGTGCTTTTGTTCGCTGTATTTTCAGGAGGGTGAAATGATAAGCATTAGGGGAAGAAGGGAGGGTAATTTGAGACCGTGAGAACCATTACCGAAACGTGAACCCTTGAGACATAGAGGATGTCCCTGGAAGGCACTTCATGTTTTGTTATAAAATTGTCCCCTGCCCCAAAATATGTGTACCGTATTCACCGTAATAAGCGCCCCGCTCTAATAAGCGCCCACGGCGATATTTGCTAATATATTGGCTAGTGAACAATCCCAATTAGCACCCCTTCCGATTGATCAATGTACACTAGACTTATTTATTCGTGTATAATACACACTCTTGTGTTATATGTCTCTTTATTATGGCAAATTAAATCCTGGAAAAATATATCTGTCGTATGTAAACATTTCAGGCTGTCAGCATAAACCACGAAATTTACGGTCTTTCAACACTGTTTTTTTTCTTCACCAAAATAATATTCAAATAAGAGCCCCCTATTTCTAATTTTGAGAGCGCCCTGGGCGCTTAATAAGTCGAATACGGTATTTCTTTTATTACCCTCCCCTAGAGACTGTCATTTATTGGTAACCCACCCCTGATTCCTTCTGACACCACCCCTATAATAAATGACCAGCCCCCTAACCCTGAATATTCTGACTTCCTGTTTTTGAAGGACTCCATCTGATGCCTGTGTTTGTGTAGAATCAGTGTATTTCGTTGTTCCAGTGTTCCCCTCGATGGCAAAAACAAAGCTGTGGAAGTGGAGTCTGTCGCTGCCCTCGTCGAGATGCTGAAAGACGCCACGCCGGACGTGCGAGCTAATGCTGCAGGAGCCTTGATGACGTTAGTAGATTCCATTTCCTTGGACACTGCAATAAATCTATCAGTGTTTGGTGTAACATTTATTAAAGAATACGTTTAAGGTAAGAATAGATACTTTTTACTTAGTGTGCAATTGTGATCATTACTTGTATCATTAAAAAACTTCACAATGCATGAGTGGATCGTCCTACTTCTAGTTAGTAGATACCATTTTATAGCAAATCTCCCTGAAATATTTCCTTGGTCACTTCAATAAACCTGTCAGAGTTTTCCAAGCATTACATAACACCACTTTACAAACGTTGTGTGAGAATATATTGCAGGATTTATGTGGATGTTTATGTAAATTTGTATTATGATTCTATTTTCCTGATTTGATTTTGACAGAATAACAATCACAACAAAAGGAAAATACACAGCAATAAAAGACAACGCTATCCCACAGCTGGTGGAGCTTGTCAATGACCCCATCAGTGAGGTGCGACTCAACGCCCTTAAAGTAAGTACAACGGTCAGATAGGATGAACTGTTGAAAGTTTGGCACCACTGAATCATCAAACTAGTCATTATGAGACAACAATATGTATTCTAGTCTAAAGAAGTTAAGTACCACCCAAGTGTCTGAGTTAGTTTGGTTTTATGCCCCTTTTAGCAATATTCAAGCAATATCACGGGGGGGGGGGGACTCCAGAAATGGGCTTCACACATTTAACCGTGTGGGGAATCGAACCCAGACCTTAGGCATGATGAGCAAAAGCTTTAACCACTAGGCTACCCCACTGCTCCAAGGACCATGCAGTAGTTATCTATCATGCCATGACAGGTGAGGTGAGGTGAAATTGGGTTTAACGTCGCGTCCAAGATTATTGCACTTATATAGCGACGTGCATGCACGTGTGTGTGTGTGTGGCTGCTTGTACTAGGCCGGACTGATGCCGATTTATAGTGATAGCTCACTGTGATACCATGCCGCTGTTTAACATGAATACCCCACTCAGACACAGTATACTGACTCCGAGCCGACCAGTCCTTGTTTTTGCCCCTTAATGCCGAGCGCCAGACAGGGTAACAACAAGTACCATCTTTTAACGTCTTTTGGTATGACGCGGTCGGGGATCGAACCCCGGACCTTCCGCGCTCCTGGCGGACGCTCTACCACTAGACCACGGAGGCGGTCCATGCCATGACAGACAACAATAGTAATATGATAGAATCGGGTGGTTCTTGAATTCTTTTGAGCGGTTATTATTTTTACTTTAACTACCAAACACAACTGAAACACCACAACTTGTTGAACAGAGTTGTGTCCCTTTGTTTTGCCTGGATCTTTGAGGTGATTGAATACTGCCCAAAGCATCATTACAAGCTAAGAGGCAAGAGCAGATTTCTCTGTAAAAGCTATAAAGTTTTTTCAAGGTCAAATGCTTTATAATGCCAGACATACAGATGTAATGTTAACAATAATATCATGTTAATATCTGATGGCGATTAAGATGTCCCTGAAGATCTGGGGTAGAATAGGTCTCCAGCAAACCATGCTTGCCATTAAACGTGACTATGCTTTTCGTAAGAGGTGACTAACGTGATCTGGTGGTCAGGGTCGCTGACTTGATTGATGCATGACATCGTATCCCAATAGCGTGGATCGATGCTCATGATATCATTTACTGTGGATTGTTTGGTTCAGACTCGATTATTTACAGACCACCGTCGTATAACTATCGCTGAGTGCGGCATTAAACAACAAACAAACAAGTATGATAGCCCTTCTGCATGAAATCAATTTTGTCACACATCTGAACAACTGACTTCGAAACTTGGAGTATGATCTTAAAGACACCAAGTGCATTAGAACTCAAATTAAAAGATTCCCACCTAGAATGTATGAAACTGAGCCTCCCCTGTTAATCTTATATGTCCCCTTTTTTTCCCAGGCCCTCACGTGTCTGTCCGAGGCCCCCGAGGGGAGGGAGACGCTACTCAGCCATGTGGACCTGGTGAGTTGACCTTGACGTCAGTCAATTGTGCTTAGTTCAGAAGTTCATAGTTGAGTAGAGCTTAGTTGAGAAGTGCTTAGTTGAGTAGAGCTTAGTTGAGCAGTGCTTAGTTGCGTAGAGCTTAGTTGAGTGGTGCTTAGTTGAGTAGAGCTTAGTTGAGCAGTGCCTAGTTGAGTAGAGCTTAGTTGAGTATTGCTTAGTTGAATACTTCATATAGTTGTTCAGTGCATTGTTAGGTAGTGCTTAATTGAGGATTTTAGTTGTATAGTTCTTAGTTGTGTTGTGGTGTTTCAAATAATTGAAATATTCATAGATTGATCATGATTGTGTGTGATGTGTGATGTGTCAGCAATATTACGATGACCAATTAATTTTGATGATCGATCATGATATTAAAACACAATGGTTGAGCAGTGTTCTGTCTGGTAGTTCTTAGTTAAGCTGTGTTTTGTTGAGCAGTGATGAGCATGTTGATCAGTACATTGATGTGTTAAGTTGAGCATTGCTTATCCCAGTTGTGCATGTCATGTAGTTTCTTCACGGTTTTATTGAGTGGTACTTAGTTGAGTCCTGGGCCTAAATTCGCTGTACAGAGTTGTGTCCCTTAGTCCATTCTGTTCAAAGTTTATGCCTATCATAAAGTAATCATCTGGGACCTGCATCACTCTGAAGCATCTGTAAAATCACAGCATCATTCCTGTTCGACTTCACACATTTCATTTTCTCATCTACATGGGAGTTCAATCCTAGCTAACTAAAATTCAGCCTTTTTGAGGGATCAGTCAAGTCAAGAAAATGCATCTTCCTGAGGTTAGGGAATTAACTTACAATAAAAGTTTGAATATACAATTTAATCTTTAGGGCAGTCAAGATTGTAGTCATCACCTTGTAGATTATGAAGTATTAGAATGGTTATGATCAATGCAGAAATACAACTTAGATGAAAAATAGTGCTGCTGAAAAGTAGTGCCAACATTTGGGGGGCTTCTGATGTATAAATGTCTGAGTAGAAGGGGAGAAGATAACTAACTGAAAAACAGAAATACCCGTCCTGTCTCCCGCTCTCTCTGTTAACAGCTGACAGTCTGTGATTAGATAATGCTTTCTGATAAAACCAGCCCATTAACAGGTGCTTGCTTATTTCAGATCAAGACCCGGACAGAGGATGAAATCCCAGCAGTCGTGAAAGCCGCCCAGATCGCTGTCAAGGTCATCACATGGAAGCCCTAAGATTCATCTTGCAAAATTGCATTTAAATTTAAAATCATTGAGGCATATCAATTCCGAATATTATGATATGTATCAAAGTCCTTGCTTCGAGCTTTATGTCCTGTGATAGTTTTACATATATTTTCTGCGGAAAACTGCTTTTGACTTTATTCATTTTGGAAACAAAATAATTGCAGGTTTTTGATTGCATTGTTTTGTTTTTATAATGAGTGATAATTAAGTGATATTATTAGATCGTAACTTTCTATTGTACCGACCGTGTCTTACAAAGCCTTGTCTGTCTGTTGGATTCCAGGAGGTGTATTATTAAATACAGTTTGACCTTTGGAATTCAGTATTTCCTGTTGCCTTGAACTAGATGAATGTTGCAGAATTCTTGTGAGAAGTCGTGGACCTTGCACATATATTTTGTTTATGTACAAATCATATATACTGTGGATTGTTATAATATTGGAAGTATTTATAATGTATATAGTTTATTTACAGTAACATACAACCCTATCATGTGAATAAATGTATACCTGTTTTCTGATTTTGTTGGACTGATAAAAGATTGAAATACAAAATACATCCAGGTGAAAGACTGAAATACAAAGAACACCCAGGTAAAAGACTGAAATTAAAAGTACATCCAGGTAAAAGATTGAAATACAAAGTACATCCAGGTAAAAGATTGAAATACAAAGTACATCCAGGTAAATGATTTAAATACAAAGTACAGCCAGGTAAAATATTGAAATACAAAGAACATCCAGGTAAAAGATTTAAATACAAAGAACATCCAGGTAAAAGATTGAAATACAAAGAACATCCTGGTAAAAGATTGAAATACAAAGAACATCCAAGTAAAAGATTTAAATACAAAGAACACCCAGCTAAAAGATTGAAATACAAAGAACATCCAGCTAAAAGATTGAAATACAAAGTACATCCAGGTGAACGATTGAAATACAAAGTACATCCAGGTGAACGATTGCAATACAAAGTACATCCAGGTAAAAGATTGAAATACAAAGAACATCCAAGTAAAAGATTGAAATACAAAGAACATCCAGCTAAAAGATTGAAATACAAAGTACAGCCAGGTAAAAGATTGAAATACAAAGAACAACCAGGTAAAAGATTGAATAACAAAGAACATCCAAGTAAAAGATTGAAATACAAAGAACATCCAGCTAAAAGATTGAAATACAAAGTACAGCCAGGTAAAAGATTGAAATACAAAGAACAACCAGGTAAAAGATTGAATAACAAAGAACATCCAGGTAAAAGATTGAAATACAAAGAACATCCAAGTAAAAGATTGAAATACAAAGTACATCCAGGTAAAAGATTGAAATACAAAGTACAGCCAGGTAAAAGATTGAAATACAAAGAACAACCAGGTAAAAGATTGAATAACAAAGAACATCCAGGTAAAAGATGGAAATACTAAGTACATCCAAGTAAAAGATTGAAATACAAAGTACACCCAGGTAAAAGATTGAAATACAAAGTACAGCCAGGTAAAAGATTGAAATACAAAGAACAACCAGGTAAAAGATTGAATAACAAAGAACATCCAGGTAAAAGATGGAAATACTAAGTACATCCAAGTAAAAGATTGAAATACAAAGTACACCCAGGTAAAAGATTGAAATACATACTACACCTAGGTAAAAGACTGAAATACAAAGTACATCTAGTTTAAAGATTGAAATACAAAGAACAGCCAGGTAAACGATTGAAATACAAATTACAGCCAGGTAAAAAATTGAAATACAAAGTACAGCCAGGTAAAAGATTGAGATACAAAGTACATCCAAGTAGAAGATAGAAATACAAATTACAGCCATGTAAAAGATAGAAATACATACTACCCCCAGGTAAAAGACTGAAATACAAAGTACATCCAGGTAAAAGATAGAAATACGAACCACACCCAGGTAAAAGACTGAAATACAAAGTACATCCAGGTAAAAGATAGAAATACAAACTACACCCAGGTAAAAGATTGAAATACAAAGTACATCCAGGTAAAAGCTGGAAATACGAACCACACCCAGGTAAAAGACTGAAATACAAAGTACATCCGGGTAAAAGATAGAAATACGAACCACACCCAGGTAAAAGACTGAAATACAAAGTACATCCAGGTAAAAGATTGAAATACAAAGTACATCCAGGTAAAAGCTGGAAATACAAACTACACCCAGGTAAAAGATTGAAATACAAAGTACATCCAGGTAAAAGATAGAAATACGAACCACACCCAGGTAAAAGACTGAAATACAAAGTACATCCAGGTAAAAAATAGAAATACGAACCACACCCAGGTAAAAGACTGAAATACAAAGTACATCCAGGTAAAAGATTGAAATACGAACCACACCCAGGTAAAAGACTGAAATACAAAGTACATCCAGGTAAAAAAAAGAAATACGAACCACACCCAGGTAAAAGACTGAAATACAAAGTACATCCAGGTAAAAGATTGAAATACAAATTACATCCAGGTAAAAGATAGAAATACGAACCACACCCAGGTAAAAGACTGAAATACAAAGTTCATCCAAGTAAAAGATTGAAATACATACTACACCTAGGTAAAAGACTGTAATACAAAGTACATCCAGTTTAAAGATTGAAATACAAAGTACATCCAAGTAAGAGATTGAAATACAAAGTACATCCAGGTAAAAAAAGATCGAAATACAAAGTACATCCAGGTGAAAGATAGAAATACAAACTACACCCAGGTAAAAGATTGAAATACAAAGATCAACCAGGTAAAAGATTGAAATCAAACTACACCAAGGTAAAAGATTAAAATACAAAGTACATCCAAGGAAAAGATTAAAATACAAAGTACATCCAGGTGAACGATTGAAATACAAAGTACATCCAGGTAAAAGATTGAAATACAAAGTACATCCAACTAAAAGACTGAAATACAAACTTCACCCAGGTAAAAAATAGAAATACAAAGTACATCTAGGTAAAAGATAGAAATACAAAGTACATCCAGGTAAAAGATTGAAATACAAAGTACATCCAACTAAAAGATACAAATACAAAGAACAGCCAGGTAAACGATTGAAATACAAATTACAGCCAGGTAAAAAATTGAAATACAAAGTACATCCAGGTAAGAGATTGAAAAACAAATTACAGCCATGTAAAAGATAGAAATACATACTACACCCAGATAAAAGACTGAAATACAAAGTACATCCAGGTAAAAGATAGAAATACAAACTACACCCAGGTAAAAGACTGAAATACAAAGTACATCCGGGTAAAAGATAGAAATACAAACTACACCCAGGTAAAAGACTGAAATACAAAGTACATCCAGGTAAAAGCTGGAAATACGAACCACACCCAGGTAAAAGACTGAAATACAAAGTACATCCGGGCAAAAGATAGAAATACGAACCACACCCAGGTAAAAGACTGAAATACAAAGAACATCCAGGTAAAAAAAAGAAATACAAAGTACATCCAGGTAAAAGCTGGAAATACAAACTACACCCAGGTAAAAGATTGAAATACAAAGTACATCCAGGTAAAAGATAGAAATACGAACCACACCCAGGTAAAAGACTGAAATACAAAGTACATCCAGGTAAAAAATAGAAATACGAACCACACCCAGGTAAAAGATTGAAATACAAAGTACATCCAAGTAAAAGATAGAAATACGAACCACACCCAGGTAAAAGACTGAAATACAAATTACATCCAGGTAAAAAATAGAAATACGAACCACACCCAGGTAAAAGACTGAAATACAAAGTTCATCCAAGTAAAAGATTGAAATACATACTACACCTATGTAAAAGACTGTAATACAAAGTACATCCAGTTTAAAGATTGAAATACAAATTACAGCCAGGTAAAAGATTGAAATACAAAGTACATCCAAGTAAGAGATTGAAATCATAGTACATCCAGGTAAAAAAAGATCGAAATACAAAGTACATCCAGGTGAAAGATAGAAATACAAACTACACCCAGGTAAAAGATTGAAATACAAAGTACATCCAGGTAAAAGATAGAAATACATACTACACCCAGGTAAAAGATTGAAATACAAAGTACATCCAGGTAAAAGATTGAAATCAAGCTACACCCAGGTAAAAGATTAAAATACAAAGTACATCCAAGGAAAAGATTAAAATACAAAGTACATCCAGGTGAACAATTGAAATACAAAGTACATCCAGGTAAAAAATTGAAATACAAAGTACATCCAACTAAAAGACTGAAATACAAACTTCACCCAGGTAAAAAATAGAAATACAAAGTACATCTAGGTAAAAGATAGAAATACAAAGTACATCCAGGTAAAAGATTGAAATACAAAGTACATCCAACTAAAAGATACAAATACAAAGAACAGCCAGGTAAACGATTGAAATATAAATTACAGCCAGGTAAAAAATTGAAATACAAAGTACAGCCAGGTAAAAGATTGAAAAACAAAGAACATCCAAGTAGAAGATTGAAATACAAAGTTCATCCAGGTAAAAGATAGAAATACAAACTACACCCAGGTAAAAGACTGAAATACAAAGTACATCCAGGTAAAAGATAGAAATACAAACTACACCCAGGTAAAAGATTGAAATACAAAGTACATCCAGGTAAAAGCTGGAAATACGAACCACACCCAGGTAAAAGACTGAAATACAAAGTACATCCAGGTAAAAGATAGAAATACAAAGTACACCCAGGTAAAAGACTGAAATACAAAGTTCATCCAGGTAAAAGATAGAAATACAAACTACACCCAGCTAAAAGACTGAAATACAAAGTACACCCAGGTAAAAGATAGAAATACAAACTACACCCAGGTAAAAGACTGAAATACAAACTACACCCAGGTAAAAGATTGAAATACAAAGTTCATCCAGGTAAAAGATAGAAATACAAACTACACCCAGGTAAAAGACTGAAATACAAACTACACCCAGGTAAAAGATAGAAATACAAACTACACCCAGGTAAAAGACTGAAATACAAAGTACATCCAGTTTAAAGATTGAAATACAAATTACAGCCAGGTAAAAGATTGAAATACAAATTACATCCAAGTAAGAGATTGAAATACAAAGTACATCCAGGTAAAAAAAGATCGAAATACAAAGTACATCCAGGTGAAAGATAGAAATACAAACTACACCCAGGTAAAAGATTGAAATACAAAGTACATCCAGGTAAAAGATAGAAATACATACTACACCCAGGTAAAAGATTGAAATACAAAGTACATCCAGGTAAAAGATTGAAATCAAACAACTACCAGGTAAAAATTGAAATACAAAGTACATCCAAGGAAAAGATTGAAATACAAAGTACATCCAGGTGAACGATTGAAATACAAAGTACATCCAGGTGAACGATTGAAATACAAAGTACATCCAACTAAAAGACTGAAATACAAACTTCACCCAGGTAAAAAAATGAAATACAAAGTACATCTAGTTAAAGATTTAAATACAAAGAACATCAAGATAAAAGATTTAAATACAAAGTGCGGTGCAG